TAGTAGTAGCAATGCCGTCACAAAATAATCGCAAAGTGTCACCGTTTTGTGATGCTATTTTATAATACAAACCACATGACTTTTAAAACTTCATAGTAAAAAAAAACGAACATATGATTTTACAATCACTCATGATAGAATTTTAAACAAGATCTCTCAATTTAGTTAGTAAAAACTTGATATGGTGCAAACTTTTGAAGTCACAAATACGTAGCAAATTTGAGACTACTTTTGTGACTGAAACTCCCAACTAAAAACGATGTCTCTAACCCGTCTCAATTTAAGATTATTTTGCTACTACATTGATATAATTGACTAATAGTCTTATAACAATCGCAAATATGAGACAGTTTGCTGATTATAACTTTTCGCCGTATTTTTGCAACGAGTTTGCCACTGATATGTGTAGTCGTTCTTTTCTAATTGACATCATGTGTAGTTGTTTCTAAATGACAACAAGGTCACGATTATTTTTGACCAATAAAAGGGTCACAAATTATAGTTTCAAAATGCAGGTTTTCTTGTAGAGCAGAGCATACATGAATTTAGCAGAAAACCAAATAATTCAAATTAAAAAAGAGTAAATTTGGAAAAATACCCTCTTTTTGTTTACAATTTTGAAATATACTTTTTCCTTCTTTTTTAAAAAATATTTTTAAATATGTAAAAATTAAACTTAATAACGATTAATAATATATATATTTCAAATATCAAATCAATTTATTTGTAATAAATAAATATTTAATTTTTACAAAGTTCTAATATAACTAAAAATTCCAAAAAATTATTATCTTAAATATTCTTTTAAAACAATAATGAATAACAACATTCTACTGATGTTAAGTTATGATTTTTATTTAGTCATGTGTTATTGTTATGGTGCAGATTTTGATGATTCATTATTATTGAAAACACATAATATAGTTTACTTTGGAAAAAAATTCAAAGAGAATCATTGAATGTAAGCAAAGTTTGGTGATATGTTAAGCAGAAAAATGTGCTTGGAATGTTGGAGAGTATTTTATTTTATGTAATATAACAAATATTAAGGGATAGACTTTATAATAGTTTTAGATAATATCTTGTTTAATTTTTTCATATATAAAATTAATAAATCAGCTTTGTGTTAAAAGTGTATATATATATATATATAACTATAATTAATATTATTTCAAATTTAGTTAATTGTTTTCTCTAAATTCAAGTTTAGTTTTGATTTACTAAAATATAGCTCTAAATTTAAATTAATACAAATTGTCATTTTACATATAAAATATTGTAGTTTTCATTTAAAATAGAAAAGGGGTATTTTTCAAAGCAAAACTCAAAAACAAGGTAGTTTTCAAAATGACCCAAAAAAGTAGTAAATGGACCCAAAAAGCCCATATTAAGTCAAGTAAGCTGACGTATTTTTGTTGTATTAATCTTCAAGCTAATTAGCTAGTATATTTTTCTGTGATAGTTTTTAAAATTTCGTATATAAAGTTTTTTTTAACTCATAATAACGGTCCATTTTTTCTTTATCGATAGGTAAAGCAATCTATGGAAACTTACCAAAAAGAAGTGATGAGGACTATCAAAGAGTTAGATATTATCCACAGTAAAATTATAAGTCAAAATAAAGGCAAGAAAGATGGGTCTTTGACATGCACAAGGACACAACAAACAAAGATTAAGCAGTCACTAAGTAGGAACAAGTCACAACCAAATTCGTTGAGACCACTATTCAGAGCGAGACACAATCTTCTTCAACTTCTTCCTCTTCTCTCGGCAAGATCAGGTCAACTTGAACTCGAAGGCAGAACTTTGATTATTTCTTATATTAGAATGAAAAATAAAACATGGAAATAAATATAGTAAATTATTAAAGTTTAGATTATTTCTTATATTATTCTAAAAATATAATGTCTTACAAAATGTCTTCCAATGTACAACGACAAATAGAATTTTCACAATGAGATATATTCTTCTTTTTCTCAATACAATGATATGCACATCGTTGGCAAAACATAATTTTCATGTCATTGAGAGAGTGTGCAATATGTTCGTCAGCTGAATCAATATCAGGGCTTAATGCAGGGCTGGAAAAATGAGCTTTTCCTTCTGAAATAGATTTTATCATAATATTTGATGCACCTATAAATAGTTTTTTAAAACTTATTAATTAAAATATAAACAATATTATATATATATATATATATTAATTGACCAAGAATAAACTTACATAATGAAACCAAAACTGCAAGAGTTAGAAAGAAAAAAATTGTCTTCATTTTCTATAAAATGTTCAATATTTTAACTAAAACAAATATAAAATATATTTGCTGATCGTTTTGAGTTTTGGTTGTGATGTTTTAAATTCAAGGAGTAGCATATTTATATGAGCTTTTACTTATGTTACATAGTAGTTAATGTTTTATCAAACATATTTTCTTATAACTGATAGTCAAAGAAACTATAAACTTTAATTTACAGTTTTTATTTTAAATTACTCCATCCATTTTACAAAGAGTATGTTTTTTTTATATATAAAAATTACCGTTTTGTGTTTTCAATGGAGATTTTTAAATCAAATCTCAGTTTTAACTTTGTTTTTTCACATTATTAATTAAAAAAAAACTATCTTAGTGTATTAATAAAAGGTAAAAGAGAAATTTAGATGTTTTTCTTAATTTGTGTGAAAATGGTAAAATGACATTTTTTGTGAAACAAATGGAGTATTAACTGAAAACATAGTTACTATATTCATTTGTGAATTGATTATTTCAGTTGAAAATGACATAACGCAAAATAATTTATAAGTTATTTTACAATACAAAAAACATATTGATAACCCTAAAAGATATATATATATATATATAAGATAAGCCTTTAATACTTTTGTAAGTTTGGTTAATAGTTTTATAGTCATGTATAAATACATATGTAAGACTATATATATACACTTTGTGTCTTTTAGTATTTTGAATATAAATTTTATTATTTTCATATTAATACTTAAACATCTTGCCAATTTTTTTTGTATAGAAAAACCTTTTATTTTATGTTTTGTTTGCAAATAGAAAACTTAAATTTAAATAAATTTCTATCAATGAATAGTTAAGAAAATTGGGGTAACTAGTATTTTTTGCTCTTATCCAAATCGTATGAGTCAAATAACAATCTTGTAATAGCTTATCACTTCGAGTATGAATCTTTTACGAATAATTCAAAATTTTACTTATTAGTGTCAATTCAACCTATAAAATTATTGTAAAATACGGGGATTCTTCCGCTTATGGTAAACAAAAGCTACATATATATAATGTGGCTATTTTGTTGTTTAAATTGTCCAACAAACAGAAAACATTTTTTCAATACAAGGTAATATTATTTTCTTTTATGTTGAGAAAATATGTCAACTAAACCAAATTTATTTAAGTTATTCAAATTTCAAATGCTAATCGAAGTGTCAATATATAAAGTCTTATTAAAGAAAGAAAAAGATCAATATCATTTTAAATTTATCAATATCTTGGTGATAGTTGTACGTTAATACATTTAGAATTTTAAAACAATAATTCTTCTATATAAAAATTACATTATATATCGATCCACTAGGAGAACTGAATGATTCAAGATGAGCTTTTGTCTTTCTTCCATGGTTTAAACATCGGTTTGTCATCTCTTTTGACCTTATTTTGTTTGTTTTGGCTATTCCGCCTAGGCCTGGGTAAAAAACCCTGACCCGAAAACTCGAACCGAAATCGATCCAAAAAAATTGGTTTGGAGCGGGTACAGGTATTAGCTATTTACCCTATTGGATTTTGTATTGCCGTACTCGTGGGTATAGGGTAAAACTCGACCCAAACCCGATACCCGGACGGATACCCGATTACCCAATATTACATATACTTATACATATAAAAGCTTTACTTATATCTAATATTCGAGCTAAATACATTTATATCCAAATATCCGGGAGTAATTACCAAAAACTAAATGCACTTATATTTAAATACTTAAGACTAAATCTATTTATACATGAGATACTTGTAAAATTTTTGGATATTTAGACAAAATTTCGGTTATTCGGATAAAATTTCGGATAAAAATTTGGATATTAGGGTAAAATTTTCGGGTATTTGGATAAATTTTTAGGTATTTGGATAAAATTTCGGGTGTTTGGGTTTAATCGGGTATAAAATACCCGAACCCGAAGGTACCCGATTTTTTTGGGTATTTAGTGGTTCTGAATATTTAAACCCGAACCGAAACCGAACCGATATTTTAGATTTATCCTATAGGATCTTAAACTCCTCTATCCGAAGGATCCCTATCCGATCGGGTTTTACCCGAATCCGATCCGCGTACTCGAATGCCCAGCCCTAATTGCGCGTTTGGGTTTTCTTTGTTTTTCTCTATTAACCGGTGATGTTTATGTTTATGTTTTTGTTAGTTTTGTTGTTATCTTATAGTTGGTTATCCTTTGTGATACTATATATCTTAATAATAAAATTACTTTCAGCGAGAAAAACAATAAAAATCCGGTTCTTTGACACAGAAGCCTTCCATGATTACTATTAAGAAAATCCATCTAGTAGCACATTTAACATCTCAATTTGATTTTATGGAGACCAATAATAAATCTTCAATTTTGAAATAAACCTTAGTTAGTTTTTTTTTTTTTTTTGGAAAATTACCCTAGTTAGTTTTGCCTTTCTATTCTTTTAATTTCTCTTTTCTGAATATTTTTACTATTGTCAATTCTTAATAATTTTGCTAGTTAATTTATTTAGTTAGGTTCAATAATTTTTCAAAAAAATTCATTCAAATGTAATGTATATATTTACATATAAATTTTGTTGGTTCTTCTCACTTTTTTCTTGAGATGAGAAACTGGTCAAACATGAGTGACATCCAGAATAAAAGTGTTTTTCACTATATTCTTTTCCTCTGAAATTGCAATATATTCATGGAGAAATAGGAAGAGAGAGGATACTACAACAACAAAACAAATGACAAAACCAATCTCTCTATTAATCATCCATTATACACGAATACACTATACATATAATTACTTAGACAAAAATAATTTCATATAGCCATTGACCCTGTTTTAATCTTTCGTTTCTCTATATATTATATGCAATGTCCACCAAAAAGATATTCAAGTTTTCTTCTAGCAAACTGGTTCATACTTCATACACTGCTATTTTCTTCTTCCTCTGCATTCTCATTCTCCTTGAGCTTAAACGCGCCATCTACATACTCCTCTGTGTCCCATAGAAACGTACCAAATGCCACAGCCTCAAGAAGCAGCCTCTTCAGGTCAGAAAACGATGTCACAATGCTCTCTTTGCTGCTTTCCTCAGGACCGAAAAGAGCTAAGCTCTGCTTCTCTATCAGGCTTTTTGCTTCATGTGACCTTGGCTTTGCGCATCTCTGCAATATCTTGGGATCGAACTCAGAAATGTAATGTCTCAGTTGCTTGGTGAAACTTCCATGGTGTTGTGATAATGAGCATTCGAGTTGGTGTCTAAGAGAAGCGGATTTCAAGAAGTATCCATACAAGACCGATGCTGTGTATACTTTACTGAGATGATTCTTATCTATCTCCGTTGTTGCACAATCTTCAGTCAAACTCGAATTCACTCGTAAACTGATGACTGCGTTACTGTGTTCTTTGATAAGTTCAAGAACGTCAAAGCTATGGATTGATTCAAGCTCCCAGTCTTTTGAAGGCGAGATCTCGAGTCTTCCGTTGTAAATGCAACTGGGAAGCTTTGGAACAAGAGGCACTCTTATCTCTGAGAATTTGTACAAGATCAACATGTACATTATATCTTCAATTGCTATTTGGCAATCACTCTCCTTAAGTTGAGCTATCCTTCTGCAAAACATCGATTGAAATCAGCGCCAAATCATGAACTGCAAAACGGAAGTAACTGGAACATCGAATCGACCAAAGCCGAATTCACTGACAAATATATGCGGATTCGTGATTTAACATTCATTGATCCGTTCTTATGCAAAGATTAACGACTGAAATCACAGAAATATACATTTCTAAAGACATTTTTGTCCTACAATTAGGCGATTCCATAGTGGTAAGTGGTAACAAACACTTGTAAACCATTGATTAGCATAATTTCTGGATTAATGACTAAAATCATATAACCAAAGATTCAAACATTTCTGGATTAATGACTAAAATCAACAAACACTAGTAATTGTGATTAAAGAAAGTGGAAGTTAATGGAACCTGTGGAGAGAAGCTTCATCGGAACCAGAACTAAGGAACATGCGAGATAAGGAAGCTTCCTTATCATCAGCGAGCTGTTTAAGCAAATCAGCGACGGCGAAGTGAAAGAGCTGTCGCTTTTTCACCAAGACGGTACTTAGAAACCTTCCCTGAGCCGAGCGTGGAATCAGAGGCGCGTCGATGCTCGGTCCCGAAGACGCAGCCGCGACCACCACCAACGAATCGTACCGGACTTTACGACGCGAGGGGAGAAAAACGCAATCGCTGCCGCGGTTTTGATTAACGGAATTGCGGCGCGACGGGAGAAAAGAGAGAGATCCGTGGTGGGAGAGAGAGGTGTCCATTGAAAGAGAGAAGCAAAAAAAACGATTGTGAGATTTTTTTGGGATTGTGAAGAGATTACAGAGGAGAAGAGTCAGTGGGAGCAGATTTGGATAAGGTAAGCAAATGGTAAGCTTTTTTAAGTTTCGATGGGCTTTTATTTTGATTATTGATTTGTGTGGTTATTGCTGATTTTGTATGTTGACTAGTAAAGGTAAAGCGACGTTTATTTGGGTATAAAAAAATTAAAAACTCATGAAGAATTACCTTATATATATTTTTAATAAAAAGCTTTTGCAATTGGCTTTCATTTTCATAAAAATAAATCTATTTACTTCTGTATAAAATAAGTGTATTGTGGTATTTACATAATTTTTAAGAATTATGAAAATTAGTTTTGTATAAAACAAGTGTCTTTCAGTATTAACTATTTGGACTCCAAAAAAATGGAAGGCAAGAAATGAAAAGACTCCAAAAAAAATAGAAGACAAGAAATGATTTTTTTTTTTTAAATGTGGATATAGATTCATTAGAGGTATTACGCATAGCGGAAAATGAGGCAAAATCGTGGCAGTTAGCTCAAATCGAGTTTTATACTGAAAATCAAGATTTCTTGGATTTGGAAGCTCGAATTCGAGTGAGGGGTTTATCACATGATACAACATATTCCGGATATCGCTGTTTCGTGGATGGATCATGGAAAGGAAGCAATAAGTTTTCAGGAACATGGTGGTTTTGTACATCATCAAATGGAGATTCGCCAACAATGGGAGCAGTCAACCTCTGTAGAAGTCTATCACCGCTACATACAGAAGTAAAAGCTCTCCTCTGGGTGATGAAGTGTATGATTGGTGCCGACAACCAAGAGGTAGCTTTTTTTACAGACTGTTCAGATCTGGTGAAGATGGTATCTTCCCAACCGAATGACAAACATTTTCAATATATTTGGAGGAATTTCAGAGCGACAAAGAATAATTTTCAAGCTTCTCTTTATTTTTAATTTCTCGATATACAAATGTTAAAGCGGATAATTTTGCACGAAAAGTTCATACCGAACCGCATCATATCACATATGTAAACAACATTTTTTAGGAATGATTCTTTTAAGATTAATTTAAAAACTGTCTGACGAAGAAAAAAAAACTCTAAAAAAACTCTATGGAACCCACAGGCCTACTATCTAGGCCCAATAAGATTGCCTCTGAGATATGAAACAAAAAACTGAAGAAAAGGAAAAAACTGAAGAGTGAGACGCGATTATGGCGAGCAAGATGAGTCTCCATTGCTATCTCTTTTTGATCTTCTTCTCTCTCATTTCACTCCAAGGTTCTCCATTCTTCTTTCTTTCGGATTATTGGATGTGCTAAAAACATGATCTCTTTGTTTCCAATCTAATTCCTTGTATTGGATCTGTTAATAGGTTTTGCCAAGAAGACCGGAGATGTGTCGGAATTGCAGATCGGTGTCAAGGTAAATCTTTTTGTTTTCCGATCAGCAAATGAACGATCTAGTGTACTGTTTCTAGCTATAACATTGATTTCTTCATTGTTGTTTTTTGGAATTTGAATTTGGATCTGGTTTTGATTGTGTTGTGTTCTGTTTTGGTTTTGGCACTAGAATAAGTAAGAGGGTCTTTGACTATTTGGTTTAGTTAGGAGATCTTGTCAACAAATCTGCAAGATACTTAAGCTTCTTGATTGGATTTGCAGTTTAAGCCAAAAACATGTGAAGTTCAGGCTCATAAAGGTGATACGATCAAGGTGCACTATAGGGTAAGCTTGGCTAGATCTTATAACAAAATTGGATTCATTATTGGTATGAAGAAATGTTTGGTGTTGTTTGTTGTTGTGTAACTTAGTGTTATGTGGCAGGGGAAACTTACTGATGGAACTGTATTCGATTCTAGCTTTGAAAGGGGTGATCCGTTTGAGTTTAAATTAGGAAGTGGTCAGGTTATCAAAGGTAGTGACTTGCTTTTGGCTTTTGAGTCTCTCTTTTCTTGTAACATTTTCTTAATTCTTTCAATGGTACTTTTCGGTTTTGTTGCAGGTTGGGATCAAGGTTTGTTAGGAGCTTGTGTAGGTGAGAAGAGGAAGTTAAAGATACCTGCAAAACTTGGATATGGAGAGCAAGGCTCTCCACCTACTATCCCCGGTATAAATATGTCTCATCTTTAAGATTTTAAAATGTGTGTTCATGTTTGTGAAAAATACGGGTTTTTGATATTATAACTAAAAACAATCTTGCAAACTTCAGGTGGTGCAACATTGATATTTGACACAGAGCTTATTGCGGTAAATGAAAAACCAGCTGGTGGTGAAGAAGACGGCGGAGATGAAGACGATGAGGGATATGGAAATGACGAGCTATGATCCGGTCTCTGTTCTCCAACGGTTTTGCTTCACGAGTTCTCTGGATAATACAAAGAAACGGTCTATGGGCGGTTTTTTATTCTAGTCTTTTGGTACTTCAGTTTGGCTTTTAGGCTTAAAGACTGCAGATGGTTGTTTTGGCGACATTCAACATTTTCTTTTCATAGTAGACTCAACTTCAAGTAATTAGCCAAAGCAAATTACACAGTTCGGCTTATCGACCTCAATGATGGTCTATGCTCAATATGACGAGCGGTCAAACAAATCTTAGGCAATGTGGTCTTACCAAAAAAAAAGAAAAGACAACTACAGATTTCAATGGCAAAATAAAAGACTTTACCATTGATGCTTTTTTGAGACGTAAGAACCAAGAGGCCTCTTCCAGGCCATATCTTCTTTCGCTTTTGGAAAGGTACATTCTTTTCTTTAAGGTGACAATTTATGGCTAATGAACCATTTTATTTACTTCATCTTGCATATATGTATTAGATAAAGAAGGAAATCCAAGAAGAGAAAGAGGAGAGCGAAGAATCGATGAAGCTAACAACTCAACAACAAAAAGAAATCAAAGAAGGGATCTTAAAATGGGAGACAGTGATTACTCGGATCACAAACACAATTGTTGTAAGCACAACAAACTCTTCTTCAATGGAAAATTCTACGAGAAGAAAAAGAAGTTCTAGCGGTAGTATTAGCAAAAGCTCTGGTAGCTTCAACAGTGGACCATAAAATTCTATTAATTTATCGATAAATGAATAATCATTCAATTATACATAGTTTTGGCTAATTTTTGTAATTTTTAAAAAATTTCAATCTGAAAAGAAACTTTTTTTTAGAAATCAATAACCTTTTAAAACCAAATACAAGTAAAAATAATAATTATTATCCCTAGAAAACAATACAAAACTCTACCAAGGACTAATGCATATTTAAAAAACAAACAATACTAAAATTATATTTTACTAAATTTTCTTACATATATATTAATATATATATATATATATATATAATATTTATAAGTTTATACAATTATTAATGTATGATACTGATGAGACCATATAGTTACATATGATTTTCAAACAAATTATTATTTTATTTTATCAAATTATGTTAAATATTACACTGGCCCGTCTCGAGACCAGGAAAATTTATTAATTTATAGTGATTATTAATTTATCTGAGTATTAAATTTATAGAGATTTTTTTGTACAAACTATTCACAAGTTAAACTTCAATTTACAATTGTGCTCACTTCTTTTCTTCACCATATCGTAGATTTAACTTTAGTGAAATATGCATATAGACAATAGCAAATCTTAAGTTGATTTTCAATATACAAATTTGTTATGTTATATTGTAGATTTCTTTTTTTATGTGAATTGAATTTATTTTAAATGATACAAAACCTTATTAATAAACTTGTCTCCGGCCTTCATTACTCTAGGCACGGCTCTGGATAGGGACACTCCAAATAATATCTCAACTATGAAAATATCCTATACTGAATAACGAAAATATACAAAACGAATTAATTAAAATAAAGTTAAAGATAAAAAAAAGGTTTAATAAAAAAAAAAGGAAAGACCCTAAAAAAAGCTTATAAAATCTTGAGTTGCCTATCCAATTCCTTTCTTCACTACAACTTTTGCGATATACATCATAGATTTAACTTTAGTGAAATATGCATATAGACAATAACAAATTTTAAGTTGATTTTCAATATTTAAATTTGTTATGTTATATTGTAGATTTTTTTTTTTTCTGTGAATTGAAGAATTTAATTTAAATGATACAAAACCTTATTAATAAACTCGCCTCCGGCCTTCATTACTCTAGGCAAGGCTCTGACTACAGGTTCATGCTCTAACTTAGGCATTCCTAGTGGAAGTCCATCCATCAGCCCTTCTAGTTCAACTACCGGTAGAAGCTTGCTTAGCGCTAGTGGAAGTCCTAAGGGCAGTCCCTCTGGTAGTGGGGTTTCCTTTACGGACACTACTGGTGGAAGTGCTTCATTAGCCCTACTCAAAGTGGAAGTGCTGGAGCTAGTAAGAAAAACGCTATAACAATGACACAAGTCGAGGCTGAGATCCAAAGAAGTCATGATATTCATAATAAACCTCGAAAAGAAGTGTCCGCCAAAGAAGAAATTCAAGGTCTTCTTCGAGAAACTCAAGGGTACAATGGATGCACCCTCAAAGAGTTCTCCCAAAAACAAAAGAAGTTTCTTTTCTGGTATTAAATCCGCTGGGAAACTATTGACGCCATGACATTTATGCGGTCAAGGATTGGTACCTGATATAGGATCGGGAATCAGTCCACAATCTTATGAACAAACGGTGATCAAGAACTGATCAACAAGCTTTGGCGGAAGATGGAAACGAAGGTAGATGTGGTGGTGAAGCTTGATTGACTCTCTCAATCGGTGGGCTTGATTGACTCTCTCAATTAGTGGAGAACTAGACTTGTTTGAATCACACAAATAATCCTAATCCTATAATCTCAAGAATCAAATGAATCTCTCAAATGAAACTTAAAGACAAACTTTAAACAAAGACACCCTTTGAATAAAAACAAACATGTATATTTCTTAGATGGTTGAAAGGTGTCTTTGTCCAAAGGACGAAATGAGCTTTATATAGAGCTCTTACATGAGTAAATTAACGTTCTAAAAGGTTAAACATAGAAACAAAAGATTCAAAACTTAATGCATATGGCTGTTGGGCGAGATTGTGGTGTATCGGCCAAATATGGAAACTAGGAGTGCCGACTTGTATCCGTGGTCAAGTGGTAGCTGTAGCAAATATATAGCCGTTGGGGAGTTAAGGCATAAGCCATAAAGTGTGAACGCGGCCATATAAGGAATGTGTGAGCATAAGGAGATCCGCCTAATCTGGTGCTTGCTGGTGCATGGAAAGATGTTAACTGACTCTCCCGAATGGTTTAAGATCTCTTCTGAATGGTTTAATGTCTCTCCTGGTCGCCAAAGTTTGGTTTGCAAATTGCAAGTAATTAAACCCGTCATCTTCCAAATAAGACAAGCTGAGAATCATCTGGTTTAGAAAATTAATATCTCCTAAACCAAAATCGGTTTTGACTTTATTCCAATTCGTATAGCTCCTCTGATGAGTCAAGAATATAGGAAAATTCACTTCGTAGCTTAAATCCTTCTGGTCTGGTTGGAATCCTCCACTAAGTAGTTGTTGGTCTCCATCGGGTTCATTGGAAGTTTGCTGACTTGTAACTTGAATATCTTCTTCATGTGGAAAGATTTTGAACCAATTCCACCTCTCCGTGATTTCTTTATGAGTTAAGTTTCTGGAATAAGTTGATTTTTAGCATAAATCCTCCTGGTTGGGTTGGTATTCCCCAAGAAAGACACATATGTTTTTGGTACGCTCATGTTTGTTCTCTCCGGGGTTCTTGGTCGGTGTCTTCTCCATGCTCATTGGTTGATGATGACTTGATGTCCTCATCAGTACCAAATCATCAAAGGTACAAAACAAGATATATATACTCTGCTTATGGTTACATGTTCTTCTAACTCACAATAATGGTCCATTTTTTTTTATATATTCTTGTTTTATCGACAGATGAGGCAGTCCATGGAAACTTACCAAAAAGAAATGATGAAGACTATCAAAGAGTTAGAAACCATCCATAGTAAAATTGTAAGTCAAAATAAAGGCAAGAAAGATGGGTGGTTGACATGCACTGCGGCACAACAATCACTAAGTGGGAACAAGTCACAACCAAATTCGTGGAGACTGCTATGCAGAGCGAGACATCTACTTCAACTTCTTCATCTTCTCTCGGCAATAGGCCTGGGCGTTCGGATATTCGGGTCGGGTTTTTCGGATTCGGGGTTTTTGGGTTTAGAAAACTAAGACCCGTTCGGGTATTTTAAAACTTCGAGTTCAGGTCGGGTTCGGGTCAGATATTTTGGGTTCGGATTCGGGTTTACCCGAAGTATCCAAATATTAAAAAATTTGTATCCGATTCTATGCAAAGTATTGAAAAATACTCAAAAATTATATAACCCAAATATTTTTTACCCGAATCTAGCCAAAAGTAGCTAAAACATCCGAAAATATCTTAACAACCGAATAATTTAGACGCTTAGGTTATTACAAGTATAAATATTACTATTATATTATAACTATGCACTTATATTTCGGGTATGTTTGGATACTTGTTTGGGTTCGGGTTCGGATCGGGTTCGGGTTCGGATTTTTGGGTTGTAAAGTTTAGAACCCATTCGGGTATTTTAAAACTTCGGATTCGGATTCGGATCGGGTTTTTTAGGTCGGGTTCGGTTTAGTTCTTCGGGTTCGGGTATTATGCCCAGGCCTACTCGGCAAGATCAAGTCAACTTGAACTCAAAGGCATGACTAAACATTAATTCGCAACAAATCATAAAAAATTTTACATATATTATAATCACTAGCTAATATAATCGTAGATTTTGTGTTTACAGTAAATAAAACCAAGATCGGTATAGACCATCTCCAATTTAAAATTCTATTTTTTACTTTAAAATAGAGTAACTCTAAAATAAAGTAGAGTTTTTCTCCAATATATAGCTCTATTTCTTACTCTAAAATAGAGTTAGTGTAAAAATATAGAGGAAAAATAGAGTTGCTCTATATATAGAGCAATCTTCACTTTTACTCTATTTTAGAGTAGAATATAGAGTAGGGTTGGAGAAAATTTTGCTCTATAATAGAATTTAGAGAAAAAAATAGAGTTGAGTTGGAGATGCTCATAGGCCGGCAATAGATATATCGCCCGATCTATGCAACTAAGAATTTTGTAGAAGTATATCTAGACTGTTAAACATTTATATTTGAGTAAGCTCATTAAAAGGCTTAAAAAGAAGAGATAATTTTCATCTCCTTCCAAGTGAAATTAAATAGATTTTTTTTTTGGGTAAAAAAAATTAATTAAGTAGAATATATTCGTTACTCATATGATCTTCTACCATTTTTTTTTTTGGGCACAATGATCTTCTACCATATATTATTATTTTCTAGAAATTCTCGTTTGTAAAGAGAGTCTAACCACCTACATCTTTATATGAAAATTTTAAAAAAATTGAATACTATTGGGTTAGACTTTAAATTTCCTACACCTTTCATAAAGTCTAACCATTGAATACTATTGGGTTAGACTTTAAATTTATAAAAATTGATAATCACAAAAAAAATAATGCATTTACACACGAATTTTAATTTAATTTTATTTAAAAAGTTTCAAAACTTGGATTAATTAGGAACAAAAGAATAATATATATACATTATAAGCCGTTTTGTATATATAAGAGCATACGCAGTGCAACATCTCTTTAAGAGATGTTGATAATATATTTATTATTATTATTTTTAAGAGAGAGAGAGATTTGGTTATTAGTGGAGAAAGAGAGAGGAGAGAGTGAGAGATAGATTTTGTCACGTGGGACTAAACATGTTATTTTATTACTTACACCTGGGTGTTAGTTTACACCCTTATTTCGATTCTCAGACAACTTTTGCAATAAAACATGTTATTTTATTACTTACATCTGTGTATCGAGTACGCCATTGCGTATGCTCTAAGAAGGTTAAATAGTGTTTTTGTATTTTAGCTGAATTAAATAATTTATTTTGAAAAAACGAGACCCGCTCAAATAAAAAAGAAAAAAGTGTTAAAAAAATAAAATCACACTAACGGTATCTGGAAACATCGGGACACATCTTTAAACTCATTCCAAGTTTTCAATGAAATCAGAATTCTCTAGAAAACCCCAAAACCACTCCCGACACTCTCTCTCTCTCCCTATAAATTCTCATCACAATTTTACCCAATCGATCTCATCTTTGTCAACACATTTGTTACAGTCTCTAGAATTCTCTCATAAATTCGATTTCGCTCTCTCTTCATCTTTTGATCAGAATATGGAAGACGATTTTGACATGCAGCAGTTTCCAGAAGAGGAACCAGAGGAGATGGATATGGATCTCGCCGACGACGACGAAGCTGACTCTGCTCCTTATCTGAAAATCGGCGAGGAAAAGGAGATCGGAAAATCAGGATTGAAGAAGAAGCTTCTCAAGGAGGGTGAAAAATGGGATACGCCTGAGAATGGAGACGAAGTTGAAGGTAAATTTGAAATCACTTAGTCTGATCTGATGATATATATGTGATCAGGTTCTAAGATTGATTCCGTTATTGTCTTCTTTTGCAGTGCATTACACGGGTACTTTGTTAGATGGTACCAAGTTTGATTCAAGCCGTGACAGAGGAACTCCATTCAAATTCACTCTTGGCCAAGGTAATTTTTTTGTATTTTGGAAGATATTTGCTATGCTCTGCTTTTAGATTAGGTTTGTGTGAGGATTGTGGTTGATTCTCCTGTAAAATTGAAATCATAGTCGGTGTTGGTTAGTTGATGTTATTAGGTCTAGAAATTGGTTGATTGTGGTGTCTTTTGAGTTCTGAATTTCTTTGGTTTGGAATGGTTAGGACATGTGATCAAAGGATGGGACTTGGGGATCAAGACAATGAAGAAAGGTGAAAATGCTATTTTCACTATTCCTCCTGAGTTGGCTTATGGTGAAACTGGTTCACCACCGACTATTCCTCCGAACGCTACTCTTCAATTTGATGTGGAGTTGATATCATGGAGGAGTGTTAAGGATATATGTGGTGATGGTGGGGTGTTTAAGAAAATAATTGTGGAAGGAGAGAAATGGGAGAAGCCAAAGGATCTTGATGAAGTTTATGGTGCGTTTTTTCTTTTTTTTTGTATGATTGTGGTTTGATTCTTTGTGCTGGAATATAGTCATGTCGATGTTGGTTCTGATTGGTTTTATGGTTTGATACTGTGGCAGTCAAGTATGAAGCTCGGCTTGAGGATGGCACCATTGTTGGAAGGTCTGATGGTGTAGAGTTTACTGTCAAGGACGGTTAGTATTTTCTTTACCGGATATTATTTGTTGTTCAGGTAATGCATTTTGGAATAAGGATCTGATATACTTTTTCGCGAATTAGGCCATTTCTGTCCTGCGCTTGCTAAGGCTGTCAAAACCATGAAAAGAGGGGAGAAGGTTCTCCTAACTGTGAAGCCACAATGTGAGTATTTTCGTTGGTGTTTGTCCTTATTTAGCAGCGAATCAGTGAATTTAGATTAATGTGTGACACTCTTGACTTGTGCATTTGAGCGATGCAGATGGCTTTGGGGAAATTGGAAGACCAGCTTCTGGTGGTCTTCAAGCTGCAATCCCACCAAATGTAACACTTCAAATTGACCTTGAGTTGGTTTCTTGGAAGACTGTGGTGGAAGTAACTGAAGACAAGAAGGTTATTAAGAAAATAGTGAAGGAAGGAGAAGGATATGAGCGTCCCAATGAAGGAGCAGTTGTCAAATGTTAGTATCTATCTATAAAGGTCTATATGACGAGCGCTTTTACGCTATAGTTAAGCTATGTGATCTGACAAACTAGCTACGATGTTTTTTTGCAGTGAAGTTGATTGGTAAACTTCAAGATGGAACTGTGTTTATGAAGAAAGGTTATGAAGAAGATGAGGAGCCATTCGAGTTCAAAACTGATGAAGGTATATAATAAACAATCCTATTTGTATTTGGTGTGTCACGACTGCGATATTTAAGTGACAGAGGATTGGTGTTCTGTGCAGAACAAGTTATTGAAGGGCTTGAAAAAGCTGTGATGGGCATGAAGAAGGGTGAGGTAGCACTCATAACAATTTCACCGGAATATGCTTTTGGTTCCTCTGAATCAAAACAAGAGCTGGCCGTAATACCGCCAAACTCGACTGTATTCTACGAGGTTGAGATGGTATCTTTCATCAAGGTGAGAACAATCACTTTCTAAGTCTTACTTCTTTCTGCATAAATAAACTTATATGTGTGCTAATGCTATTGTCTCTCTCGATGCAGGAGAAAGAGTCTTGGGATATGAACACACAGGAAAAGATAGAAGCTGCAGGCAAGAAGAAGGAAGAAGGGAATATGCTGTTCAAAGCTGGAAAATACGCAAGAGCTTCAAAGAGATACGAGAGGGTTTGGGATTTGATCCTTGTATTTGCTAAAACTTTTATGTTTTGGAATAGATTTTAACATCAGGTTTTGGTTGTAGGGTGTCAAGTACATAGAATATGACTCAACTTTCGACGAAGAGGAGAAAAAGAAAGCAAAAGATCTCAAGATTGCCTGTAACCTTAATGATGCAGCTTGCAAGCTGAAACTGAAAGATTACAAGGAAGCAGCAAAATTGTCCACTAAGGTAAAAATAAAACAATTCAGTTTCAGTAATTTTGGATATTAAAATTGGAGATGAACAACTAAGTAATGAAGCGAATGTGAATAGGTGTTGGAGATGGATAGTAGGAACGTGAAGGCAATGTATAGGAGAGCTCATGCCTACATGGAGACGGCAGATCTTGATTTAGCTGAGCTTGATATCAAGAAAGCTCTCGAAATCGATCCTGACAACAAGTGAGTAATTTTCTACTGTTCCTTTGTCTTTTTCCGTTGCGATGCGTCCTAACTTCCAACATGTGTATGTACAGGGAGGTGAAGATAGAATATAAGAAGTTGAAAGAGAAGGTGAAAGAGTACAACAAGAAAGATGCGAAGTTTTACAGCAACATGTTGTCGAAAATGCTTGAGCCACACGTAAGTAGTTTTTTTAAAGGAGAGTTCAATTGGTTAAAAAATAGGTAAAAGCCTTTTTGAACTGATAATGATTCTTGTTTATATGAACTGTGATTGTTGTGCAGAAAGGAGCTCAGAAGGAAGCACAAGCGATGAGTATTGACACCAAGGCATGAGAAATCACTTTAGAGAGTACTATTGATTCCAAAAAGTAAATGAGAAAAGTCTATAAAGTTCTGTTTTACTCTTTGTAATCAATCTTGGTGTGTGTTACTGTTTCAGACGTTATTACTTCAATTCTGTTGAAATAAAACAGACTTGTAATAAAACAGACTTGTAATAAAATAGTCCACTCCAAGTACTTTACGACACCAACCGCTTGATATAGATAGTTTTTGTAGTTAAGTTCTATCTAAGAATCTTTACGGGTTTGGTTTGGACCAATTATTGTTATGCAAATTATGCCATCAATACAATTTTTTTTTTTTTTTTTTTTTTTGCCATCAATACAATTGTGGGGTAAGGTAAAAAAATACAAGTCCTGAAACAGTTTTGGCACAAGAAAGTTTGTAACTCTACCTTAGAATTCAATACATATTGTTGTAACTTCTGCACAACAACCATGGCCCTCTATCTTAAGAGAATTATCTCTAAAATTTCCCCTTTTCTAGTGATCTTATCAACAATGTTGTAATCTCTACTCTCTCTCATTTTATCTTTCAAAACTGTATGCCTTAATGTCCAGTCATATTTAGATTGATAATTATCGGTTAATATAAAGAAAAAATATTCAAGATATATAAAAAAATGTGAAAGACATCATGTATACAGAGCCGTGCCTAGAGTAATGAAGGCCGGAGGTGAGTTTATTAATAAAGTTTTGTATCATTTAAAATAAAATTCTTCAATTCACAGGAAAAAAACAAAATCTACAATATAACATAACAAATTTAAATATTGAAAATCAACTTAAAATTTGTTATTGTCTATATGCATGTCTCACTAAAGTTAAATCTACGATGTATATCGCAAAAATTGCAGTGAAGAAAGGAATTGGATCGGCTACTCAAGATTTTATAAGCCTTTTTTTAGGGTTTTCCTTTTTTTTTAATTAACCTTTTTTTCTTTAACTTTATTTTAATTAATTCGTTTTGTATATTTTTGGTGTTCAGTTTAGGATATCTTCATAGTTGAGATATTATTTGGGATGTCCCTATCCAGATTCTAGAGCAATGCCTAGAGTAATGAAGGCCGGATGCAAGTTTATTAATAAGATTTTGTATCATTTAAAATAAATTTTTCAATTCACAGAAAAAAAAGAAATCTACAATATAACATAACAAATTTCTATATTGAAAATCAACATAAATTTTTTTATTGTCTATATGCATATTTCAAAAGTTAAATCTACGATAGTAGATTTACGGTGATTGTGAACATGATTTAGCAATTATACAACATCCAAATAGATAAGGTGAAGAAAAAAAGTGAGCACAATTGTAAATTGAAGTTTAACTTGTGAATAGTTTGTACAAAAAAATCTCTATTAATTTAATACTCAGATAAATTAATAATCACTACAAATTAATAAACTTTTATGGTCTCGAGACGGGCCAGTGTAATATTTAACATAATTTGATAAAATAAAATAATAATTTGTTTGAAAATCATATGTAACTATATGGTCTCATCAGTATCATACATTAATAATTATATAAACTTATAAATAATATATATATATTAATATATATGTAAGAAAATTTAGTAAAATATGATTTTAGTATTGTTTGTTTTTTTAAATACGCATTAGTCCTTGGTAGAGTTTTGTATTGTTTTCTAGGGATAATAATTAATTTTTACTTGTATTTGGTTTTAAAAGGATATTGATTTCTAAAAAAAAAAGTTTTTTTCAGATTAAAAATTTTTAAGAATTACAAAAAATTAGCCAAAACTGTGTATAATTTAATGATTATTCATTTATCGATAAATTAATAGAATTTTATGGTCCCGACACTATTAATTTAGAAAAGTTTTACTTTATTTTGAGAAAAATCATGTTTCTATACATAAATCTAAGGTACAATAATATTTTTAACTGACAATTCTGGAAGAAGAAAGGCCATAAGACATTGTTTCAAATCCTATAACTAAGGCGCCCTGATGTATATTAAAAAGTTTATAAATTCAAAATTTTTTAATTTCATAAATGTGGGTTTGACTGATGAATCTTTTATTTTATATGAAAAGCCTTTTGTGATGGATTTGTTAAGTTTAATGGCTTTTGACCTAGCTATACGGTGAATGCTTGACTATCAAAGTTAGTGTACAAATCCAACGAAAAGTATCCGGAATCTCATAGTCATCAATTTTCTATAAATAGGCCGGGTCAAACATTTTAACAAAACGTTTTAGATAACGAATTTTTGGTTACCGAAGATATAGAAAATTTTCCAATAGTGTTTTTTGAAAAATAATATTAGGTAACAATGTAGTATTATCAAAAGGAATGGATCATCCTAATGGATTTGTGAAATATTCGAAAAGAAAAGAAGAATAAGTTTTGTTCAACATAGCACTAAGTAGTGATTTGCCACTATACAACATTTTTTCGAGATAAAAAATATGTCACATGTACACTGTCATTACTTTTAACCATTTTTTAATACCATTAAATTTCCGAGTGAGATGCAACTACTCTTCAATATTAAAAATATAAAACCACCCACATTCAAAGCATCTTCTTCTTTTTATTCTAGTGATAAAAATAGAATGGATTAAATTAAAGTATTAGTAAATTAAATCCAATTAATTCACCCTACCTATTCCTACGTCCAATAATTCAATCTCCAATTCTTAATTATAACTAAAGCTGCAAGTGAAGACTTATAAAACCATAAAGATTTATAAATAAGTTTAGATGTTTTAATTAGCAACTTTTCAATTATGAACTTGAAAGTAGTTGGTGATTAGTATAATCCTATATCATTATTCGGTGTGCTAAGTCCACAAATCAGAGTGCATACCCATGTGATTGCTCTATTTTTGTTAACACTCTATATAATTTATCAGTTAATTAATCTCAGATAATCAGAAATGATTATAACTATCATTGCTTATTTTTATTATTGTTATACTAAAAATGCATTTTAAAAGATTTTATATGTATATAGAAACTAACTTGGGGCCTCTGTATTTACATATATAAGACAAACAGAAAAAAAAAATCAGGATATCTATATATGATGGTAACATTATTTATTCATATATATATATATATATGAATTCTTGTTTTGTATATATAGAATTTGCATAATCATAAATAAGAACCTATTTAAAAGATACATGCAAATGACAAGATATTAATTACAACATCGTTGCCATGATCACCATGTAAGATCAATATGTTACATTTACTTAGATTACTAAATAAGATGGTATAATCTTTGCTACAATCTGGCTGATCAGCTTATCCACTTAAAAGACATAATGATGAGGACATTGATTTAGAATTCTTCTGGCTAGAACAAAAATGGTCGAGAAATTTACCCGCTATTAGAAATAGTCGAGCAAATCCAAATTCTATCGGAAGTGATAGAGAAAAAACTACCCGATGTGACGATGATCGAGCCGGAAGTGTTACTACAACAACTTTTTTCCTAAACAAGATTGATCGATAAATCTTAAGTTCTTAACGGAATCAAGATTAATCGAGAAATCTTTACTAAAACCAAAATTGATAAAAAATGCTTGCCAGAAATTGATCGAGAACACTAACCGGAAGCTGATCAAGCTCGATCGAGCGATATACTTACTTAATAGTACAATACATACATGACCTAATTTCCTATAGATTTGTACATGATTGACTGGTCATGTTTAGTCTAGTTAGTACCTAACGCCTACTGGAATATTGAACAACGAAAAATATTAAGCTACGGAAAGATATCATTAAAATAATTGAAGTGATTATTATTAGAGAAAGATATTTGGTTGATCACCGAATCATTGGTTGATTAGGGATTAAACCGGTTAAAGAAAAAGCAAACATATAAGATTCCGCGTTTTCTCGGTAGATCTCTAGAAATTACAAGCAAGACATTTAATTTTCAGAAATCAAAACTTGATCCCACTATAATATTGTTTTCAAATCCCACCTCAAATCCAAAGACAATAGAGATAAAGACATAACACCTCACACAGCTGGTTAACATTAGCAAATATCAAATCAAAAAGAATCTAGGAATGAAACTATGAAAGTGATGTTGACTAATTAGGAAGCTAAGTAACAAATATAAAAATCAAATGATCGCATTTTAATAAATCATTTTAGTTTAGATTATAGATTTATAGTCCAACATTATGAAATTTATTAATTATCTAAAGGTTACTTTCTGTCTAATGATATTTGTCCGAAAGTTCTTTGTCCTAAAGTGTATGATGTAAAATAATTAGATTTTAGATAAGATTGCAATTATTTACGAAGAAAATAGTAATAACGTGGAATAATTTTGCATAGGATCCAAGTTAGGGTTAGTATCGCCGATCACCCGATTACTTAATTGAAAACAAAGTAAAGGGCTTGTTTTCGAAAATGTACATTTTTAATTAAAAAAAAATGTTGTGATAGTGAGTTCCTAATTTAACAATACATTTTGAAAACGATGGTCTTTCTATAATTAACTTAAAATCAAATAAACGTAAAAGTGGTCTATTTTGTTTAGCCTAATTTGGAGTAGATTAATTATCTTGGATTGTATTGGAAGGTAACAAACTTACAATGATATTACATTAGAAAAGCAAAAGGAATCCAAAGGAAACCAAAGTGGATAAGAATACAATTGAACCCTAATAATGAATTGGAAGATGATAATATAAAATATAAAAAGTAAAAATTATAGGTTACTTCCATAAATGTGTGTATATATATAAATGGAGATGAGTATATGAATAAATCACAAATATTGGTATGGTTTATGTACACCCATCAATCCTTTTTTTCTTATTTTCTTCCTTGAGACCTTGAAAAAATGGTTGATCAAAGCTCAATTTTCATGTGTTGAGATTCATTGTTGGGGTTTAGTGCCACTCCCATTCCTACTATGCTTTGTAAATCTTCTTCGCTAAACATTTGATACTAAAAACACACACACAAAACAAACAAAAAAACTTGTTATAATAATCATATCACTATATAAAACTTGAAATTAAAGAAGAAAATTAAAGGAATAATTTAAACCTGAGAGATTGAGTCAGTGAATTGGGTAAGTGTTGGTAAGTGAGTGAAGCTTCTGGCTAAGGTAGAGGTTTCCAAAGAGTTCATAGGAGATTGGAGCATCATGTTATTGGAAAGTAATTGTGCATTATCATTATTATAAATATTAAGTTGTTGTTGTTGTTGTTGATGATGATGACGACTTGAAGACTTTGATTGGAGTCCTTCTTCATGCAATCGGTTGTTACTTGATGGAATCATCTGAAAAACAAAATCAAATTATACAAAACATATTAAAAAAAAGATTGCATATTATTTAATATAAAGATACAAAAGGTACTTTATAAAAGAAATGCAAAAAAGCTGCCTGATTAATGCTAATGGGTGGATTGAAAAAAGGATTTAAGATATAAGTGACGACAAACAAAAAGCAAAAAAAGGATTTGAAAATGAATAATGTCAAATTATCATTATTAATGGTTGTTAAATTGATGTTAATGTTTAAGGTGACTTACAACATCCTTTGACACAAGAGCGTCCACGTTAAAATCCAGCCTGGTGTCGTTCACTGATGATAACTTCATTGACAAGAACTGCCCATTATTATTAAACAAAGAAAATGTTAGAAAAATAGATTAAAAAAATTCATTGCAAAATAATTAAAATTCGGTGATTAATGAATGAAACAATTGATTATATTTTAGATGAAACCAAATAATAATTATACCTCAACTTGTCTTTGCAATGATTGTACATAGTTTATAATTTCATCAAGCATCAGTGCTTTTCCAGTAACCTTTCATCGTATAAACAAAGAAAAACAAAGACATTAGTTTTCTAATTATACTAATCAACAATTTAGTTCATAACGAAAATTAATGAGTGATTAATCAATTACTTAAAAAATATCAAATTAAAGTCTCACCTTATTGCATCCAGGCACAAGATCTTGAAGAAGCTTCATCCTTTCACCAATTTTCTCCCTCCGAACCTAAACCAACATTAAAGAACAATTCAAACCAAATTCTAATCTCATCTAAAATATACAATTAATACAACAAATAAACAAGGGATTTAATTTAAACCCCTATTACCTTTTTTTTTTTGGTGCAAAAAACCCCTATTACCTAATACCTAGCAAATTGCTCAAAAATTAAACTAGATCATTGTCTTTTTCTCATTTCTTATCCGAGAAAGTTCTGGACCGAAACCTATACATCTCTTCATGTCGGAGATCATAACATAACAAATGTAGTTTTGTCCCCGCAACTAGTGGTCCAACTCATGATCTAGCCCGACTGCCCCGAAACTTATAAGATTTTAGAAGTGGAGACTAAAGAGAAATAATTACTCGTTCGGCGAGGCTGTGACTATCGGTCGCTTGGCCTCGTCGAGCTCGAACATGAATGTAATCTTTAGGAGGCTCCGGTGGTTTAGTGTTATTGTTTCCTTCACCTTCTCCTTCTTCTTCATCTTCTTCTTCTCTTCTCCTTTTTCCTCCTTTTTCTTCTGAACTTTTACTTCCTTTTCCACCCCATTCTTCTTTCTTTTCCGCCGTCTAAGAAATTTAAAAAATACACACAAAAAAAGTTAAAAACTTTATGTAAAAGCTGACTTTTTAAAGAACTGGGGTTCTTCGAATAATGAACCTAGAAAAAAAGCGGGTCTTCCAAAATTTGAAAAAGCTTCGTAAAAATTAAAACTCTCCGGGAAAAAAAGTCTGAAACTTTCCGGGAAAATTTATTTACCTTTGAGAAACTAGGAGATGGGGAAGCAGAGGAAATGGGATTTTCTTTGGATTTTCCTTTAGGCACAGATTTTCTCTTCCGGGAAAATTCGCCGCCGGGTGCGACTTCCGGTGAAATAAGAGCCTTAAGAGCTGGTGTGCTGGAGACACGTGTCAGCTTCCCGGAGTTGTTAACGATGTTGTTAATCGGAAGATTTGTATTGGTTCTTCCGTTAAAGCTCCGACTTCCAAAACAAGAGAATCTTGCAGCTCTCTCCGCAAAACCCGGATCTGCTGAGAATTCCGTCAACGGTGTTGTTCTATTCATCATCATTTGAGAATTCATATTCGTCGGTGGTGGTGGAGAACTCATCGGAGTTGCGTAACATGAGGCAGAGCGAGACATCGGAGTTCCGTAGATCTCACCGGAGTTATTATTGTTATTCCCGATGTTTCCAAGCTTTCCGATGAGTTCTCTGATAAGAAAACCATCACCGCCACCGCCAGAGAAGTTGGAATTTGACGGTGTCGGTGATGAGACTAATGAGCTTAAAGCAGAGTCAAATATGCTTTGTTGTTGTTGTTGTTGTTGTTGTTCCGTTGACTTTTCCCATAAGAAAGAAGAATCTTGATGCGGATTTGGATCCATTAAAGCCCAATTAAGCATCATGGCCGATGAAGAAGACGGTGGTGGTTCGAAATGCGTCGCCATCTCCGGTGGTGGTGGAAACTCTGTGTTCATAAACAACTCGTTGTCCATTTTCTCTCAATTCTTTAAAGAATGAACAAAGATCGGAGATTGAAGATTTGTAGTAAGATCCTAAATTACGAAAGAGTTAGTTAGAGAGATTCTGAGTTTTGGAGTGTGTCGGAGGAGAAAGTTGAGAACGTAAATGGTAAGGGAAATGCTTAAGTGGTCGCTAAGTTGGTTTATATAGTTGTTTAATGAAACACTAAATTATGTTTTTTAATTAATAATCGTATAATGTAATAAAGTTTAATAATTAGTACATAATTCAATATCATTTTGTGTGTTGCTTGCACCGTAACGGGCGGAGATTAGGAGTTGTTTGCCGGGCCTTTGACGTTGAGAGATATTTGCTAATAAATATATGTAATTGTTTTACAATATCGACGTAAAATTTTACATGAATGTCAAACTTTATTTTTTATTTTTTTTATTTGGAATAATATTCTTAAATAAAAGAAAGTCTACTATAAAGAGGTTTTACAAGCACGGTCTCCCACTCGTTCACTTCTTTCTGAAGGAACATATTCGTACATAAACTTGTGCAAAAGAAAAAATTGAAGAGATCTTCTCAAATTTATACTATACGGTAGAATAGAATTATAGAAATATCATGGCTTATACAGTGGAAATTAACTTATATAAGAGTCAATTAACTGGTCTATCTTTTTTTTTTTGTTAGAGTTGGTTGTATTTATGGTTAGATGTTAGCAACTAACACTATATTATATAAACGCTTGCGATCAACGCCTACGATCAAAAATCCTACAAAAGTCTCTATATTATCTTATTGAAAATGATTGTTATGGACTTATTTTGGAGTGTATATGATTCTCCTCCCAGAGCTTGCGATTTCGATGTTTGGCATTATAATTAGTCGATCCTTGTGGCATTGAATAGAAACTATAATAAGTATATTGATGGATTTATATCTCAACTTCCGTATAGTCATTGATAATGCGACATTGAATAGAAACCATAGAAATCCGTAATCTCCCCGAAGGCCCGTAAGTAAGCTCCTCAACAAAACCTTCAACCAAATGACATATGTAGTAGCAGTCTCTGATCGAATTTTAGTGTATATAGTCAACAAATTTTATGAATCGCGCATGATTATCCTTGAAAGATTAGAAGTCCAAATATTTCATCAATCTCTTTCTGATCAGGGCTAAGACATGCTATTTTTTAAAAAATTTGGTATGGATCGTGATTAGGGACCATATAACTAGAAAGGATGAATTTGAAGTTTTCAAGTCTTTTAACCACTCATCGACGAGTGCTGTATCACATAGCATGACCTCTATATCTAGTACGTGTTTAATTAGCTAGGGCTCAAACAGAAGGTGATCTTTCTCATCAAATCGTTAATGTCTTTGTAGTTTCGAACCCAAAGACATTAACGATTTGATGATCAGCCACCAGCCTCCGTCTTTCAGTCGAACGGAAGGTTAGAGATCGTCTTCTTTCTTTCCCAGCGACGTCTTCTGCTTCTTTTTCTCTTCTCGGGTTCTACTTTCTTTGTATGGGCTCTTTTTCTTAATTTTTCTCCAGTTCTTTTTGTTCTTGTTATAAGTTGCAATCAACATTTATGTAATTGAAAATGGTATAAATCTTAACATTTACACCAAAAAAAAAAAAAACCCAAAGACCACTATAACTAGCAGTCTAGCATACGAGACCAAAAATGAACTACTATATTTGATGTTACAAGATTTTTCTAAGTTAAATTACATATGATGCTACATTAATTCACGACAAAAAGATGGATACACATAACACTTACTAAATTAGTATAATTTGGATCATTCACATATATAATTACGTATTCTATACGACTATATACCCTCTTTACATAACCACTAATACACTTGACCAAGAATGAAACAACGTTACTGGTTCTCTCTAAAATGCGAAATTATTTAAAAAATGTAAGAAAAATCAAAATTTCAAGCGGTCGTGATATGCTATGAGAAATCACAAAGGCATGTAAATTTATTTTCAAGTTGATATCTAATCAATATATTGGAAAAAATAAATTTGGATAAGAAAAAAAGAAAAAGATTCGTCAATGTCATATGTACAAAACCGCCTACCTAGTACCTTCTTTTCTGTACACTCTTTACAAAAAGACATTCTTTTAAAAAGCAATTATCTATTAGAAAAATGCGTCCTAGCTATATCATAAATATAAGTATAAAGAACTGTGTAATTAACCAAAATAAAAATAAAAATCATGAGGTGTGTGAATTGTTCTATGTATAATATATACACGTATGTCCAACTTGGGCGCAGATCCATCTCCTTTAGTCATAGTTTATAGAAGTTCGATCCGAAATTATTAAATTGAAGAAGATAAAATAATCAAGAAAAATAACTGTGCTGGTTACAGATAGCAGCTACATTTATAGGTTAGAAGTTAACAAGACGAACAAGTAACAGAAGAAAACATTTATACTTTTTTATCTTTAAGAATTAATTGTGGTTAAGTTGGATTTGCATGTATGAATGCAGTTACGTTGTTTACATCTAAAAAACACATTGATTGAATATTTGCCTAACGAGTAACGACTCATTTTGATAAGAAAAATGAGGGAATTAGGTTTGGTAAAGTAAAGTTTGAAAAATTGTATTGGGGGTAAGTTCTTTGGACACGACTTCTATTGCTAGTTTGTATATGGAGTTATTATAGCCATATTTGAGGTACATAACGATATACTTTTTTTTTTCCGTCTAAAGGATTTCATTGATAGAATGCGTTTGAGTTATACAAAACCGAGAAAAATCGAAATCCTTTCAAAGACAAAGTCGGCGGGTACATAGAAATCCCCAGAGACTTAAGACTAAAAAAGGCGGACAAATATAACAAGCCTGAGAAGATAAAATACAAAGATAACTACTAAAGGAATAATAGCTAAAGCCTCCAAAGCAACAACACTGAAAACTCTTCTCTACAAGTAGTCGACTAGCACTTCCATAGAACAGTTTGGCGCTGAAGAGAGGCAATAGACATGAGCATCGAAAAAAACCAAGCTCACACAACCATCTCCACAGCAGAAACGAAGACGACAAAGCAAGAAGATCATAACACATAACCAAACCTCCACGACCACTATAAAGCCAATGAAAATGAGAAGGAAAAGGATCAAGAAGAATCCTTGAAATCTGAGAGGGGAAACGCCAAATAGGACCACTCATCCTTACGCAAGAACCTTCGTAGACCCAGCCAAAGCCACCTACGGACTAAAGACTGGTTACGCCATGCAAAGAGAAGGACAAGAGGTCGACCCACCATAACATCCAAAACTCATCCGAGAACCAAATGAGGTTCCAAGAGAGAGCTAGTAGATGCCATTATAGAAGGTAATCAACCGAATGAAGAACCCACAAACAAAACCTTACGTCAAAACACCACACCGAGCCGAGCCGAGCCAGTTTTTTTGGGTTATCGGTTAACCGAGTTATTTCTTGAGTATTACAGAAGTTAACTGAAAATAAATTTGGTTTGCTTCGGTTTGGTTCTCCATTAATTTTGGTTTTGAGTTTTAGAACTAAAATAATCACCATTTAAAAAAAACAAATCAGTTATTTTTGTTAAATTTGGGTATTTTTGGTTAAATTAGAGTATTTCGGTAATTAAATTTGGGTATTCATGATAACCGATTTAATTTTGGTATAAAGCCAGTCTAAATTTGGTATAATTCAGTTATTATAATTTATAAAACACAATTAACCAAATAACCGATTTTAACCGGTCGGTTTCTCGGACCCAACCCAATGCCGATCGGTTCAGCCAAGAGAACCGAAAACGGAAAATCTCGGTTGAGCTTGGTTCAGTTTTCTTGGTTCGGTTCCAAATCGCGCAAGCTGTAGCTATGGGATGGATGGAGAAGGAACATAAGATGATTTGCGGTGAAGGAGAAGATTCCTGAGTTTCTCTCTCGTGGCGAGATAAGCTCGAAATAGTATGATTACAGATTGCGCTACTAATAGGTTTCATTGTGAATTTGTTGTAGTCAGTTCAGTTGGTATTGTCTTTGTTGAATTGTAACTATTTTGCAGATATATAAATCTCAATTCCAATCTTCTTTCTTTGTACAACAAATCAGGAATTACAGATTCCATGAAAATCCTAAGCCTCAAATCGAAACGTTGATATGCAAGAGTGTTACTAAGTAGATGAACCTAACAAGCCTGTGATTTGAATGAGACTAAACAACTTCTTCTACTTCTCTCACTAAATCTTGATAAAATAACAGAGATTCAAGAATATAGATAGATAAATGAAAATGAGACTGAATATGAACTATACAGAATATACTTTTGGGGTTTGGATTCTGTATCTAATGTTACAACAATGGGTTTCTTGAGAAGGGACTTTTATGAGGGCTGAACCAATTGTTCTTCAGGAAGGTTGCACAATTGTTGTCGAACACGCGATACCAGTTGAGATGCTTCCTTGTCAAGTTTCAGAGTGTGTCTCCGTAAGCTCTGTCATCACAAAGTAAACAAAAGACAATAAAAGTCAGGCAACTTTCATAAACCTTTCAAAATGTATTGTTTCGATCTTGTTTTTTTTTGTACCTCGGAAGCCCATAAGCAGTCACGTTCCTTACGCGGGATTATGTGAATGTGTGTCTGAAATGCAAACAAAAAAGGAACTGTTAGTAGAAACTTCCCTCCTCAGGAAGTAAGAGAAATAGAAAGTTGGGGAAGACAGTATGTGCTTACGTGAAATATGACTTGCCCAGCTGCTGCGCCGTTGTTAACCAATAAGTTAAATGAATCTGATAAAATAGTTTTGATCAGAATCAGAATCAGAATCAGAATCATCTACCTTAAAATGGTTAAAGATTCCAGAAAGAATGGCAAGATTACTTTAGCATATGACAGCAAGTGGTAAACCTGTTGATAGTATATTTCACTTTGCAAAACAAGATGGCTAAGTTACAAGATAAGGACAAGAAACCTAGTTCACAAGAGAGGTAGGTATCCATTGGTTGCATAAAATAATGATGAGATCGATACGGTCTTGAACTGCAATGGTTGCGTCAAAAACTATAGTATAAATAGGTTATGTGGTCCATCTATATAATATGTTGAGATAAATGGGTTTGAAATCATCGATATATCGAGTTCCTAAGGGAAAGTTCCATTATCAAAATGCTCAGGTTCTAGCAATTCCAGCACAACAGTTCATATAATCTGATTGTATCAAAGATTGATGGAAAAATGAGAACTGATCGAACATACCACTGCCAGTAGCTTTGACGATGGCGTTGCTGATAAGCGGCACTTTAGAACACATGGCAGCAACAACCTGCATGCTCCTTGGAGGAGACCTATAGTCAAAATCTTATAGGCCTATACATTTTTCGACTAAGTAAAACAAATTTTCAAACAACCAAGGCATACCCAAAAGGAAATGAAACTAGCAACTAATTTACACATATTCCGCAAAATCCATGATCAAATGAAGGTAGGAAGAGGAACTTACTGAGGGAGGAGTTTCCTCTAAGGTTGGATAATGTAACTTGGGAATGATAAGAGAGTGCCTGAAACACCCAAACAACAAAGTTATAGCTTTTAGATTCAAGAATAACAACAACACATGTAAAGTAATCAAGAAACCAAATAAAACTACATAGAAGCACAGTAAATAACAGAGCAAATGGCAAACCAATCTCGTCTTAACAAAGAATTAAGATTTGATTATTATTACCCATGGCTAAGTGGATTAGTATCCAAAATACACAAACACATATCATCCTCGTACAACTGCATCAAAAGAGTTCACTTAGTTAAGTTCTGTGTAAGAATTTGGAAGAAACAGAGACATAAAGTAAGAGTTTTTAAACCTTGAGACATGGAGACTCGCCACGGATAATCTTACAGAAAACGCAGTCGTTTTGGAGATTGGATGATTCCACTTTCCCGTCGCCGGAAGAAGCTGAGCTACTACAATCGGAAACCCTGAGAATCGGGTCTCGGGTCGGGTACGGACCAGGTGGGTTCAGGTGAGAACAGAGGATCGCGAGCCTTCTAGCTTCCATTATCTGATAAATTCAACAATAATTACGATTCTTTTTTATTCCGAATCCAGCAAATAATGATTTTTTGTTGAAATTATTAAATTTTGTTTTCTTTTTATTTATTTATTAATTAATGAGGATGAAGATTGAGAGGAGAAGAGTGGATCATGTTTGGAGTGGGGTGTTTTGTTTTATCCACAACCATCCATGTGATGATGACACTGTCCACTGTTTTTAAATATATTTTATTTTTAATTGATAAAATTAGGGGAATATATAACTGATGGAATTTATCAAAGAATGACATAATTTGCTATACAAAATTGCCATTATTTAAATAAAATTTAAATAAAATTTAAATAATAGGTAAATATACCGATGATTATTTTTTTTGTGCTAAGCAATTAGGGGTGACGAAAGAATTAAAGTTTTGTTTTGATCTCTTTAACGGTCTCGCCGTTAGTTTATGGGTTTTTAATGATGATTGGTATCTATGCGATGCATGTAATATAGTTCATTTTCATTAATGTATTCAAACTTTGATTTACTTCATATGAAAAGAATAAATTCAAAACGTACCATCGCTGCTCAATTCTATCCTTACGCGCATTATATAGAAAATGACTAGAAGCCGCATAGTCTTCCTTAAATATCATTGGTTAAGGTTCGTAAAAACCCGCCATAGAGGCTTCATTAATCCGACCAAGCGACCCATTTCTCTACTTCTCCCAATTCCATTTTCTCTCATTCTTGAAGTTTTTGTTGATTTTGGTTTCTGCTTTAGCATATAGCACAATTTTTGTTGGGTAGTTAGTTTAAAATTTTAACACAATTGTGCTATGATATCTTTGATGATTATAAAATTTTGAAAAACAATTTCAATGTTTTTCTATTTTCTGTCTTCACTAAAAGAGTGTATAGGTTGCCATAGTTTTTTTAATTATCTATTGCTTCGATAAAAGAGTTATGAAATTATTTTAATGTTTATTAATTATTTGAGAGTTTTCACTTTTTGGTTCTAGTATCCAACATAAATAATATTTTAATGATATAATTATAGAAATATTTGTGATTATATATGCACATTTTAATAAATACTTAGGTTTAAAAATAATTTGACAAAAAAAATCCACTATATAGTCTATGTATAAACAATTGAGTATACATCAATGACCTATATGATATCATCGTTCTGCCTTACGGCCAACATAATGTAGGTTATAACATTGGTAAAGATAGAGGTGTTGCCATAACCACCGCTAATTTCATCTTTGGTTTTTCACCGTCATTTTTATCTAACAGAGTTTAATGTATATAAAAAATTTATAAAAAAAGGAAAAAATCTAACACATACAAAGGCAATAAGTAGAGTTCTAACTAGAAGGTGGAGAACAACATTTAACATTTTTTTAATTTAATAGAATATATGTATGAAAGATATAAAGGTTAAATCTTCGTCTCTATTTTGATGGACAGTTGAGATTAGTCAGAAGAAATCGGTAATGCAGAATTAGATCATCTCTCCACCTATAAATACATCATTTAATCCATCATAAAAGCTGATGAAAAAATCACAATACATAAAAAAAAAATGTTTATAGGCAAAGGAATATAAATCAAGACTTCAATCTAATTAAAGATAAGACTTTCGTCTTCCATCCAGAAAGCCATTTAGGAGGATTCTACTGCGGTTAATATAATGAAGCAAGGAAGGTTTCCTTGGTACATACGTACTACAAGCGGCAATATATGCAGTTTGGAGAGAAAAAAATAGGAGGAGACACAGAGGAACAAAAAACTTGGCTTCTTGTTTAATTAGATGGGTCGACAAGCAGGTTCGAAACCAAATCTCTTCACTCTGGCTACTAGGAGATAGGCGATATGATGAAGGTCTCCAAATGTGGTTCTAGTTGAGACATTAAATCTCTTTAGCTCTTTAAATTTGAAGTCCTCAAAGTTATGTTTTTTTCAACTAGTTTCTACAAACCGTTGCACTTGATGTACCAACGTATATTTTTTCTTTAAATATAATTTAACATTCTATTCAAAAAAAATATTAGTAGAGAAAGGTTCAAAAAATCGGTCCTAGGCGGCGGCTAGGTTCCCGTCTACGTGCTAATAAACCTTCGGACCCCCTGATTTTAGGCAAATATGTATATCAAATCGGTTTACCGGCTTAGACGTTCAAAACCAGTAATAATTAGTCCAATAAGCCAAATCGACTGGTTTAGTGCATTTTTTTTATATGACATCATTTTGAATAAGCAAATTTTTTTAAAAAAAATTAAAAAATAATTCATTAATGTTAAATTATTTTTTAATTTATCACAATTTTTGTAGTTATTGAGACTAAGCTATTTTAGTTTTCATATAAACTAAGTGTAATTATATATAACAAGTTCGAATAGATAATTTTTTAACGTTCTATTTTTTTTAAACAATGTTTTGGTATAAAATTATTAAAAATAAGTAAATAATGTACTAATGCCTACGCCCCTCCTAGACTTCGGTTAATGGATTTAGGCGCCAGACCCCTATCGAACGCCTAGTTACTGCTTAACGATTTTTTTAACATTCACTGGAGGTATTCCGCTAACCTTTTTGTGTGTCTGTTATATGATTAATCTTGATGCTTAAATATCCGGAATTCATGTAAGTGATGCTTACATGTAGTATGTGAGGCAGATCTAAACCTTTGTTTAATCTATTAAGTATAATAGATATATATATATTTTTGAATAACATTAGGTTAGAGATATGAAAATTAGGAATATTATTCAAATCTGAATTTTTAATAAAATTTTGGGCATGCACAATTCGGGCCATTACGAATTAGGTTTCTCAAAAATAAAAGTTTATGCACAATTTCAGGCGTCTGTGAATTATTTTTTTTTGCAAACAAAATTTAGTGTAAAAATGTGTGCATGTGTAACATGTGTCTTTACAAATTAGGGGTTACTGCAGTAAAGAAATATTTGTGGTACCTCATTACCGCAAAGGAAAATCGTTGTATCTCATTACGTGTACTAAATCATAAATGTCTACGGATAAAAGTCTAAGGATAAGCTAAAAATCATAGAAGTACAATTTAAGACTGCCCACATATTCCTTATAGTGAAAATTATGAAATATCTTATAACCATGAAGCATGATGGTACAAGCATGAATATTTTCATTGAAATGACCGAAAATATTACTAAGTTGAAAAATTTAGAAATGAGTGTGGATGATTTGTTTCTTGTTCAATTTATTCTAAATTCGCTATCTCCTCATCATTGACCAATCAAAATTTATTTCAATTTCATTAATGAAAACTAGTCATTGAGTGAATCGGCTAACAAACTGGTATATGAAGAAGTCACGTTTAATTGTGAAGGTATTAAAATTACCTATCACATGTAAGCATAACTTACATGAACCCCAAGATTTTTAAACATCTATACTAGTATTTTTGAAGCATATTTTGTACCGGGTGGGTTAAAAATTTATCCGAGATTTTTGATACCCGACCCGATACAAAATTTACTTCAAAATCTTACACCAGATATTCTATATTTTTCTTTGGATCGGGTCAAAACATATCCAAATTATGAACTGGATATTTTATATTTAAATATATTTAGAAGATTTGGTTAAGATTTTAAATTACGATTCTCCTATCATCTTTGTTTGAATTTTCTTTTAACTATTTTGAATCATCATATAATACATAAAGTTAAAAAAAATTCAATTATTTTTTTCTGCATATATAGTGATTCAAAATTTTAAAAACGGATATATATTACCCATATTATAAATAAGATCATAACAAATTCAAATCCAAATGAATAGGAAGCTTAACTTAACAAATATCTAAATTTAAAAGTTTGTATACCGTTTAATTCGGTTTTTAGTTTAACTGTTTAATTTTACCGGGAATATTTAATTTTATACTTTTAAAAAGTTTTAAACAATATAATCCATATATTTAAAATCAATAAAAAGTTTATAATATTATGAACATTTGAACCTATAAAAAGAGTTACAATAACACGGGACGGGTTATATTGCGAGACGGAATTATATGGCGTGATGAGTTTTAAGAAGTTTAAAATATTATAATTTAAATATTTAAAATCAATAAAAAGTTGGTAATATTAAGAACATTTGAACATATATAAAGAGTTAAAATAACACGGGATGGTTATATTGCAGGACATAGTTATATGACGGGGACGAGTTTGAATCAAAAAATTTAAACATCCTTAACATACTGCTTCAATACGGGTTAAATCTTCATTTTATTATTTTCAACACCACCAATATTAGACATATCGAATGATCCTGATGAAAAAAAATTGTATAAAATAAAAATTATTTTGTGGTATACCGTTATTTCGTAATTGTAAATTATAAAATATAAATGTCTTATAAAAAGATATAATTTGCAACTTTTATATATAATAAATCACCATTAAATTTAAAAAATTATTAATTTTAAAAAAAAATCGTCATGCGGTATACCGTGGGTTAAAATCTAGTCTATATTAATTACCTAATAGATGTAAATGTAATACCTTCATAATCGCAAGAGATAAGTCTTCTAGAACAGTTCCATGAATGGAAGATGAAAGCTTGATCTTGAAGTTAGAGTTTAGGTTTCGATTGTAAACGTTTTTCTTTAAGTGTAGCAGTTTTTTCCATCAGTATTTATGATGGACTAAAGGCTCTATTTATAGGTGCAGAGAACATAGTTTCGCATCTCTTCTACTAATCCCAATTGTCCATAAAAATATAGCCGAAAGCATGTGTAACAAGTAGAAAACTCTTTTAAATTATCTTTTTTTTTGTCAACAGCTAATCTTTTAGATTATCAAAAGTACATTACTGAATAACAATTAATTGGTAATCAAATCACATTATATCTTTTGATGCTTGGTTCGATTTTTTATTTTGTGTGTTATGGAATACAAGTACAAAGTAATAGGTCACAAACCTCATAATTTTTTTTACTTTGTTATAAAAAGCTTATTATTTATAATATGAATTTTATATTAAAAATAATTTGGTAGCAACATTAGTAAAGAGGAGGCCATAAACCACAACATTTGCATTGTTTAGGATCTTTTCCTTTGGCATTAAACTTCCAGCAAATACCCTCTAACCCTTTACTCCTCTTCTTACACACAGCCTCACAATCTTTTAGAACACACAATCCAGTTTTTGGGTTAACCGGAAAGTCGATACATCGATTACTTCTTCTTTGCACATTCCCCACCACTCCTGTTATCATAATATTTTAAGTATAAAATCTTAGTTTGGTAATAAAAATTAGAAAACAATATTTTCATCTAAAAGATGTTTAAAGAGTTTTTCGTATATTGCAACTAAAAACAGATTATATAAAAGTTTTTCACGGATATCATATAAAATTACATCAAAAACTATGGATCATTAATATTTACGAGACAAAAATGTAACATGACATATATATATATATATATATCTTTGCAGCACGAACACAATGATTTGATGATGAAATAAAACAATAGAAATATGTTGAATATATTTATACTACAATAATTCTTGTAATATATCATGACCACATATTTAATAAATAAAATAATTAACAAAAATAGGTGGAATTTGTTTTTTTTAATAAACTTTTCGAAATAGGTTTTTATGTCTAGCAACTCAATTTTCTAGATCTGATTTGACATAAGAGTGCTAAATTTAATATAATTCTAAATGTATAAACTTACCTAGCATAAAAATGATGAAAATAGTAAGAACAGTAAATGAGAGTTGAAAGATTTTCTTCATCACCAATGATAAAAATGAATTGATGGTGTTTTAAAACTTAAAAGATGATAGGTTATATATATAGAAGATATTAGATGTTTTCACACACGACATATCTATTTAAAGCTAATTTTCTTCTTTAATTCCGATTTTAAGGGATCTTGAATTACTCAATTTGATATTTTTTCTTATTTGCCACGTTTAAGTTTTAGACTCGGTCATTTTTAATAAAATAAATAATAGAGATGAATATTCATTAGGAATATATACAACTTAGAATATATGATGTTCAAGAGAAAATTTCTAGAATATATATACCTCGACCTAAATATAGTATGACAAGGTTGGTTGATCCAATAGACATTTTTGTGATTTGAGAGATTTTAAAAACAAACTCAGGATATTTAGAAACTCTGTAAAATTGTAAGTGCATGGTGTTAGCCTAGTTAATGCTATATTTTCCATTTTGTGATTTTATAGAAATATTCTATTGTGGTTTTGCATAGTTTTGAGATTTTTTTAATGCATGCGGTTTTAGACAGAATTAAGTTGAATAACAAAAAAATTAGAGAGAAGTATATAAGGTCATGGGTACCAGATACGGTGAAAAATTTTCGTGACAAAAATTCACCTGATACCAAACCGAAAAGGGGAGATTTCTCTACATCCGCTCGTAAAAAAATTAGAGAGAAGTATGATTGGATATTTCTCTAGAATTTCATCATAAGAATAATCGAGCCAGTTAGCTAGAATTCATAATACTCGAGCCAGTCAGCCAAAGGATAACAAGGACTCATCCGAACTGTACCAAGACTGAGCCATCTTACCCACTGAAGAATATACTCGGAAAAACGATGATATTTTGAAGGTCCATCATAAAGAGAAGAGTCAAACCACATTTGATTCAATCAAATAAGAGAAGGTGAAGTCATTTAAGCTTACTCGAAACTGGATCGGATTAATCACCCAAGCTACCCCTAGGAGAATCCACTCGATTAAATCACCAAGATGTCAAAATTCACCGAAAAAACCAGCCATTCTAAGGAAGGTGATCGAGAGACATCAACCTTGGTTCGAGGTAAATCAGAAGTCCATATTTGGCCATAAACATCATGAATACCAACAAGTGTTTTTTCATTTAATTTTAGAATTTTTCAAAATAGAAAAAAAAAAAGGGAAAGCTCAACTGATTTCTTTGTATTTGTCATGCATGTTTTGAATAAAAATCAGATTTTTCTCTCCTTTAAGGTTCGGCTTGTTTACTCTAGGTTCACTTATATAGTATTGTGCGGATTCCCCTCACTAATATTCTCTAAATGTATATCTCTTGTGTGGATTACTTGAAGGGTTTGATTAAAAATCGTCACTCAAAAATGTAAAAGCCCTTTTTGATAAGATCCACGATTCACCATCGTCCGTTTCCTTAGACTTCAATATCCAAAGTGTCATTAACAAAGCCGAGTATATATCTCCTTTGGAGCTTACATATATCAGAGGTATGACCGATTATGATTGGACTACAACGACCATGGCTTGTATTTATCGAAATGTCATCTTTGCATGCATGTTTTATGTGGCATTCACTTGATTAGTGTATGTGTCACTAAAAGATTTTGATCAAAGGTAATCAAAACCATCTCATTCTTCTTCTCTTTTCAATTTATGATACAAGATCGATCACACCTAATTCAACCATTGTGAATCGCCAGCAATTTCCTCTTTCTGATTTGCTTCCTTATCTTTCTATGTTTTCAAGATTTAAACTTTATTCTTTAAATTTCCTTTTGCCTCCATGCATGTTGATCGTCGCCCTATGAATATAGTCAGGCCCGGCTTAGCACATGTGGTCCTAGAGTCCAAAACTTTTTTTTTTTATTTTTTTTTTCATACAAAAATCCCAAGTTTTTTTTTACAAAATAACCACTAATTCAAGAATTATACCTTAAAATCCCAAATTTTGTTTGAAAAACAATATGGAAAGATCCAAGTTTTTTAAAATAACATTTCTATAATTAAAAACCATAATTATTTGAAAACAAAATTGGTATTTCTTTTTAAATAAAGTAATATGCACAATTTTTTTTGTCTAAGGGCCCTTAAATTTTTTGGGTCGGATCTCGCACCGGATCTCGCCAATAATTGAACCGGACTTGAATATAGTATAAATAGACAAAACGAATTCGCCGAAAATATATTTTCCAATTTGATCAAACGTAATTTCTCCGTTCAAAAACATTCCAGTCATTTAATTTATGTTCAAGAACATGTGTTAACTTAATCTATTAATCTAGATGAATATCTAGGTTAAAAGAGCTCAGAAAAAAAAAAAAAGAGTTGGCCGACTAGACCGGGTTTAGGATAACAAGGTCAAAGTCAATCGTTGACTTATCCAAAACCTGTAAGGGCCAGTTTAATTAGGTTTAGTTTGGTTCAGTTACGGTTCTATTTCATGGTTAAGTCAATAATGTTGTTTTGGTTTGATTTGATTGGGGTTTGGTCCGAGAATTACTTCATTTTAGTTTAACCAGTTTGACTTTTTAATCAAATTCGAGAACAGGCAAGTTAGACCGGTTAATTAGAATTCTAATTGGTTCATCAATTATTGATTGATTGACTTATTGAGTGGTTGGTTTAATTGATCAAGCCGGTTAAAGTTCGAGTGATAATTCCATCTTGCAAATTGGTACAATCTTCGGTTTAGTTTGAATAAACTAAGTGACATAGGTGAGTCATGGGGACCAAAGACTGCATTTTAAAATTGAAGTATGATTATGATTAAACCTTACATGAGACATATTTAGTTGGTTATATTCACATAATGAGTACATGAAATGATATTGTTTATGTGTTGTTCTATGACCAAATAATTATGATGTTATTGTGTGGTGTTGGTTGGTCGTAAGTAAGTGTTTGTCATGAACTTGTTTCAAAGAAGTGAAGGACTACTCCACGATTTGCTCAAGAACCTTGTGATGGTAACAAACTGTGGAGTTCACCTCTTCTAAGATAGTTTTGGAGACGGGATTTGAAGCCAAATGAAAATAACAGACACAAACACATAAATAAATACTGAATTTAAAAATAACTAGTCACACCAAATAAAAAAACCTCTAAATAACTAACTTGCTTCGTTCATCATCGAGGCGTTCGCTTCAACTTTTTTTTTATAACCAAGGAGTGATCCGTATTTTTACCACCGACTAATTCTCTAGAGTAAGTGTCGCCGAGTAGCCTAATCACCAGGTTTTCTAATGTGTTTGAAGCGTGGCACTATTTTGACGACTAACTATTTGAAGTGATTTAGTAAATTTCACACTGGAAGGGAATCGATTCATGGCCTAACCTACGTGACAACTCAATTTTAAGTAGAAACCACTAGACCACTGCCACTTGGTTCATTCCCTTCAACCTTCAATGCATAAGTTTTCATTGTTATTTATGTTCTTTTTAATTTGATGAATTTTCCTAGATAAAAAAAGAAGATATGTTAGTAATTTTCAAACCCATAAAATGAACAAAAATAAAGGTAAAATATTGTGCTTAAGATAAATATAATTTCTTTATCAATAGAATTTCAATACCAACTTGTAAATCCTTAATTCATGTTGAGAAGTATCTTCCTACACCAAGTACCGGAACAAGTTTTTGTACAAAAGAGAATCTCCACCTCAAACCAAACCTAACCATTCATCAAGGCTGGAATTGTGCCCAACAAACGTAAGAAAAGTATCAAGTAAAATAAATAGTAACACCCTTTGTATAAATCTCGAACAGAGAAGTGGTCAATGGTGGTGATATATTAGTCATTGACGACTTTGTGAAGAGAAAGTGGTCGATGTTGCGCCACTTTGGCGTTAACGTTGACGTTTGGAAAATATGAAGCAATAACATAAATCCACGGTCAACAATTTCTGCTCCATTCATGTTGACTTACACGTGATGCCATTTTGGAATCTTCCAGCTATAATGATTTAGATTTTATTCAATATATTATCCATTTTGTCACTACAAGTCTACAATACAACAAAACACCAATCTCTATTGGTCACAACTAATAATATTCTACTGATTTGAGTGGTCACAACTCACAAGTTTTTGACCACAATATAGACTTCTCTCGGTCAACAAAATTTTGTAGTTTATCATAAATATATTAACAATAATTTCCCACTTGTTGTTATGCGTTTTGACCGACTTCTAAAAATATCACGTTCTAGAATAGATAACGTTTTGGTATAAAATCAGTCTCTTCTTCTAGTGAACACAAGATAAACCTCAAAACAAAGTATAAAGTTTAACAAAAAAATAATGAAGACATTAATTGTGAAGTGTTTCCTTCTATTGGCTTTTGTATGTAGCTGCAAAGCAGCAGATTCAATATGGCAACTCTGCAACACAAACTCAAACATCTCAGCAAGCAGCCAAGTCTCCAAGAACATCGATTCTCTTCTCGCAACGCTTGTCTCAAAGACTCCTTCACAAGGTTTCGTGACCACAACTTCTTCAAGTTACAACAAAAAAGAGAAAGTGTATGGACTTGCTCAATGTAGAGGAGATATCAGCAAGACCGATTGCTCCACGTGTATCCAAGACGCGGCCAAGAAAATCCGTGAAGTGTGTCCGAACCAATCTGACTCAAGGATCTTGTACGATTTCTGCTTCTTACGTTATAGCCAAGAGAATTTCATAGGGAAGCTTGATACTGGCGCTGGTCTTATATACTTCAACGTCGCTAACGTAACCGAAACTGACCCCAAAACGTTTGACAATGAGCTTGGAGCACTCTTTGACAAAATTAGGTCTGAGGCTGTTTTGCCTAAGAGTCAAGGTTTAGGTAAAGGTAAGACAAAGCTGACACCTTTTGTGACACTAAACGGTTTGGTTCAATGCACAAGGGACTTAAGCGCTTTGGATTGCGCTCAATGCTTTGCAACTGCGGTCGGGAGCTTCATGACAACTTGCCACAACAAGAAGGGATGTCGTGTTTTGTATAGTAGTTGCTATGTCCGGTACGAGTTTTATCCGTTTTATTTCCCTCTTGATCCGGCTAAAACCGGTCCTAGTGTTGGTAGAATTTCTTCCGTTCGTCTCTCTCCCTAATCACAAAGTCTAATAAAAGAGTAAGTTTGACTCTAAAGAGTATATGTGTGCAAAATAAGGCTCTCTCCTTTTGTTTCTTCTTTAAGATGTAAGCAATTAAGTTGCCAAGTTATTTGTGTTCTAGATTCCAACATGCATATATAGTTGCATACATATCATCGGATCCTGTATATTTTATTTATCCTAAAGAAACTAATATGTCATCCATTTCAGTATAAATATATATCGTTTTTGAATTTTCTTACCCATATTAAAAGGTTTACGATAAATTATTGTCTAAAACTATTAGAAAAATATGTCAAATCTATACTAGTATAATCGCAGCACTTTTTGTGACGGGTGGGTAAAAAAGCTTTCGGGTATATCGGATATCTGACCCATTTTAAAAATTCCTTCACAAAAAATTTGTTGGGTCGGGTTATATTTAACCCAACTCATACACCGGATATTCCATATTTAATAATTTAGATTTTTAGAAGATTTGATTAAGATTTATAATTATGATTCTCCTATCATCTTTGTATGATTTGTTTTTAACTGTTTTGAATCATCATATAATACATAAAGTAAAAAAAAAATCAATTTTTTTTCTGCATATACTGTGATTCGAAATTTTAAAAACGGACATATATTATCCAATTGACGAAAATGTGTGTTCAACGTTCTACATCGATTAAAATATATAGACAATGATTCAGAATCATATCATAAATAAGAACATTAATAAAATAAATGAGTTTTTTGGCGGGATGGGTTTGGCGGGACGGGTTTTTAAATCAACAATAATAAAAAGATTAAAATATCATTAATCCACCGCTTCAATACGGATTTAATCCTTATTTTTTTTAATACAAATCACAGGACGGGTTAAGAAATTACGGAACGGGTTATATTTCGGAAATGATTTATATGGCGGACGAATTTGAATCAATATTTATATACCGCTTTAATACGGGTTAAATCCTCAGTTTATTAATAATTATCTCGTGGACTCGTGGTATACCGTTACTTAATAACAATTGTAAACTATAATATAAATAAATATGTTATAAGGAGATACAATTTACAAAATATTTTTATACTAACTTTAAAATTAAATCATCCCGCGGTACACCGCGGGTTAAAATCTAGTCTATACTAGTATAATCGCAGCACTTTTTGTGACGGGTGGGTAAAAAAGCTTTCGGGTATATCGGATACCCGACCCATTTTAAAAATTCCTTCACAAAAAATTTGTTGGGTCGGGTTATATTTAACCCAACTCATACACCGGATATTCCATATTTAATAATTTAGATTTTTAGAAGATTTGATTAAGATTTATAATTATGATTCTCCTATCATCTTTGTTTGATTTGTTTTTAACTGTTTTGAATCATCATATAATACATAAAATAAAATAAAAAAATCAATTTTTTTTCTGCATATACTGTGATTCGAAATTTTAAAAACGGACATATATTATCCAATTGACGAAAATATGTGTTCAACGTTCTACATCGATTAAAATATTTAGACAATGATTCAGAATCATATCATAAATAAGAACATTAATAAAATAAATGAGTTTTTTGGCGGGATGGGTTTGGCGGGACGGGTTTTTGAATCAACAATAATAAAAAGATTAAAATATCATTAATCCGCCGCTTCAATACGGATTTAATCCTTATTTTTTTTAATACAAATGACAGGACGGGTTAAGAAATTACGGAACGGGTTATATTTCGGAAATGATTTATATGGCGGACGAATTTGAATCAATATTTATATACCGCTTTGATACGGGTTAAATCATCAGTTTATTAATAATTATCTCGTGGACTCGTGGTATACCGTTACTTAATAACAATTGTAAACTATAATATAAATAAATATGTTATAAGGAGATACAATTTACAAAATATTTTTATACTAACTTTAAAATTAAATCATCCCGCGGTGTACCGCGGGTTAAAATCTAGTGAGTTTAGTATAAATTTAACATTTGGATGACTTATAAAAATTAAACCCAAATCAAGGTCCATCATTAGGAAAAGGCCACCAAAAACACAAAAACATCGTCTTGCATCGCATGACCTATGCAACTCTGTTCAAGGCTCGGCTCAAGTGGATAACGCAGAGGTGCTTCGGCTTAAAGCTCATCGACATTTTAATAAAAATTCTTAGATAAAAACGTCCAATTTATTTTAAAATATTTAAAATAAGGTTCCCATCTTTTTTTAGTATGAATTAGAACCCAATGCATTAAAAGTTGAAACATATAATGATAGAAATCCGTAAAAAAATGTGTTTTAGTAAAAGACCCCAAATTTTGTCATTTGCCTTAAAATACTTAATCTTGTTGGACCTTGGACTGCTCTACTCCATCTCTGAAGAACAAGCAGCCGATAACTTTCTTGTAGAAAGATACTCTACTGTTTCAAAATATAGGATGTTTTAGAGATTTTGTTTTTCAAAATATAAGATGTTTTACACATTTTTATGCAACTTTTAAAAACATTTAATATTTTATGATCATTTGTATTTTGCAGTCTTTTATATCATTGGTTAGATTTTAAAATTTTAATCTATATATAATAGCAATCTCAATAAATGTCTTTTGCACCTCTGAACGGTTACGTTTTTTTATCGCAACCTTTCGTTTAAATATTTACGGTTATTTTTTTTTATTGTGTCTTTTTATCGCATCTTTTCGTTGAAATATTTACGGTTATTTTTTTTACGGTTGTGTCTTTTTATCGCATCTATTCGCTAACATATTTACGATTTTTTTACAGTTATATTTGTTCAATTATAGTCGTATCTTTGCAGTTTACGGTTGTGTCTTCATAGTTGCATCTATTCATTTAAAGTTACGTCTCATATAATATAGATTTAAATTTTGGTTTTTTTAACTAAAATATAAATTTTGCGGTTGTTTTTATCAAAGAGTTGCAATTTGAATAAATATTTTATACGGTTGCATCTTTTTATCGTAACACCTCATAAACAATTGCGATTGTTTAGGTGAACCATTGCAACATTTACTTTATTTAACAAACGACTGTTCAAGGTGAAGGAACCGGTGATTGGTCTTCACGACAAGAGGATCTTGCTGGATGGTTCTGGTAATCCTATCGTCACTTTGAGAGAAAAGATCAGAGATTAATGTTTTTTTTTAAAATAGAGTACACACACAACATGTATACAAGTAACTAGTACTAATAAATAGAGAGCTAGGCTTGATATGATTTATTAATAATATATGTTGGGTGGGTGATTGCAGATGGTGAGCATGCATGACAGGTGGCAAGTGTTTAGAGGAGGGAGCCCAGAGCAGCGTGATCTGATGTGTTTTTGGGGCACAACAAAGATGAGAGAAGATGTGATTTCAGAGTCAAAGGGAGTTGGCTCGAACGTTCTTGTGTTGTTTACGCCGGCGAATCTGACGCCATTGTTGCCCAAGTAAACTCTCTTTCCTTCATTATTAGTTCTTTATCAACTTAAGTCCTTTAGGGCCATCTCATTTATCAATTTCTATGCATCATCTCACATGTCTCTACATAGTTCACACATTAAAGAAGCAATGTTTAAATCCGGTTTTGGTCTATGGTTTACTGTTTTAGAAGCTGGTTTTGATGGAGCTTTTTATTTCGGTTTGGATCAAAAGCTAATATATAATACATTAGCTTATGAATTGCGAAGGTTTAAGAAAAAAGACATCTACTAATAGAAAAAGAAATCAATGGTATGGTTTTTGATGGGTAGATGCCAGGAAGCACACGGTGTCGAGCGTATTCTTGGAAAAAGATAATTTCTCAGTGACTGTGTATCCAAACGTCGATTATGCCTTCATTGCCTCTCTCGTCGTCATTCTCGATGACATCAACAGCGAAGATCGCGCCGCCTGAGACTCAGATATCATCTCAGTTTATAATTATCATCGATAAATGTGCTATTTCTTCGTTTTGTGTTAAACTTTGTGTGATTATTTCAGTTGTAAAATAAGCAAATTATTGTGCATGTCGTTGATGTTTAATGGCTACAACTACTATTCGAGTATTTTTTCCTTTTCTTCATATAGATTCTATTTTTAGAATATATGATTAATTTTGCATTAATATTTCGATTCTCCTACCAAGTGTACATGTATATCATTACAAAACTTTATTTTAGTGACATACATTTCACATACTCCCTTTGTTCCTCCAAGTTTGATGTTCTAGTATTTTAGCTTTGTTCTACAAAGATTGATTTTCTAGATTTTTTATTTTATTTTTAATTAATTGATATTAATAAATCATAGATTTCAAGACGTAATGATTGCAAATAATTATCTGTTCCAGATTACTATTGGTTCATAGTTTATTAAAAACTGTTTAATAAAAATAAATAATTATCAAATGATTTTTTCTTAATATATGTGAAATCTCTAGAAAATCAATTTTCTAGGAACCGAGGAAATACTAATTAAAAAAAAAACATTAATACCAAAAAAATCAAACCCAAGCCATCTAAAAATATTTAACGGCCCAAATGGTTATTGAAATGAAATGCTTTTGCTGTAGGCTCGGAACATGTATGATCGGAGAAAAATAATAATCATATAAATCCACGTGGCAATAACTGCTGGAGGAGTGGGACCGGGTGTTACTGAGAAGACATGGCCCAAAAACAAGTGTGAGCGAATTTGTCGGATAGCTGAGTTTTTTTTTTTTTTATCTCTATAAATAGGATTTGCCTTGTGGAATAAAGGCATTTTTAGACGAGAATTTCAGTGGAATTCAGAAATGAGGCCATCTTCTTCTTCTTCCTCATCCTCTGCTTCTCCTTCGTTTATGCTGTCTTCAGTGACAGTGGCGGTGGACAAAGCCACAAGCGAGCTTCTCCGCACTCCTGATTGGACCATCATCATCGCCATATGTGATTCCCTCAATTCTAATCGCTGGTAAATCTCACAAATATTTGATGATCTTGCTTAGTTATCATCATGAATCCCGATGTTGATGTTGAAATTTTGGCAGGCAATGCAAAGATGCGATCAAAGCCGTGAAGAGAAGATTGCAGCACAAGAGTTCTAAAGTGCAATTACTCACTTTAACGGTACATCACCCTTTTTTCTTTTCATGAATCGACCTGTCTGTCTTGTCTCTCGGTTATAACTGCATCCACTATCATCATCTCCTTAGTTGTTGGAGGCAATGCTGAAAAACTGTGGTGACTTTGTTCATTCTCATATCACTGAGAAACATCTTCTTGAAGATCTGGTTAAGATTGTCAGGAAAAAGGTTATTTTATTTATTTATTCTGAGCTTTTTTTTTAACTTCTCCAAGACACCCTCTTTTTTTTATTTTTTTATTTTGTGGATATAATAATCTTTGATATGTTTGAGTGTTGAAATTGTGTGTGAAAGGGTGATTTTGAAGTAAGGAACAGGATCTTGCTATTGTTGGATACTTGGAATGAAGCATTCAGTGGAGTTCCTTGTAAATACCCCCACTACAATTGGGCATACCAAGAGCTTAAAGTAAACCCACTTTCTTAGAAATTTATCATTCATCCTTTAGCTTATTAGCCTCTCATTCCTTTTGAATCGACAGCGGTGTGGGGTGACATTCCCACAACGTTCCAAAGAAGCACCCCTGATGCTTGCACCACCACCTCCAGTGACACATTCTTCTTCTTCTTCTTCATCTTCTATGAATTCAATGTCCATTGGTTCATTTAGAAGGCTCGACGAAGCTATGGCTACAGAAATTGAGGGCCTAAGGTAAACTGAGTGCCTATGTTTCTCAAACAACCTACTATATTTTCAGTTACATTGTTTATTGATTGTTTCAGCTTATCAAGCCTTGAATCCATGAGAAATGTGATGGATCTTGTGAATGACATGGTTCAAGCCGTGAATCCAACTGATAAATCAGTAAGTTTGGTATCAATCCTTTTCAACAATCCAATACTATTTAAAACTCTCAATAATCTCTCTGGTTTGGTTATAAATATAATCTTTCACAGGCTATAAAAGATGAGCTAATAGTTGATCTAGTAGAGCAGTCCAGATCTAATCAGAAGAAACTAATCCAGATGCTCACTACAACTGCGTCTGTCTTCTCCACCTTTCTGCTACATCCTCTTCTTCAGCTTTACTTGTTCCTTTTTTTTCTTACCTATTCTACCTTCTTCTTCTCAGTGATGAGGATGTTATGGCACGTGGGCTCGAGCTGAATGACTCTTTGCAGGTAGTGCTCGCGAAACATGACGCTATTGCATCTGGTGTATCTCTTCCTATGTTGGAGGCTCCAGAGACAAGCTCTGCCCTCAAGACTTATGATGCAGCTGCTCTTGAGTCTGACTCTGAGTCTTCTTCATCGTCGAGCAGTGAAAGTGAAACAGATGAAGGGGAGGATGTTAAAGATGACTTTATGCAGCTAGCCAAAAGGTTAACGATTCACTCACAAACTCAGACACTAGTATTTTACACTCACAAATTAGTTTATAGACATTCTCGAATTTGCAGGCACGCTCTATTAAGTGCCGAACACAGCGATGAAGAAGAAGAAACATTGCTTCTAGGCAATGATAATGAAAAAATAGCGGAAACAGAAGCCAAGATACAGTGCAAAGATCTAGCTTTGTTTGACACAACAACAACCACCACCGAGTCAGAGCAGGACATTATAGAACTTCTCAGCCTAACTCTGTCAACGACTGCTCTACCCTCCCCACAAACGCAACCTCAAATACAACCACAAACGCAGCCTCCATCGTTTTTTACTGATGATAATATTTTTATGAACAACTACGTTGTCCCATGGGCACAGTCCCAAGAAGAATCGCAAGTCCCAAAAATGACTCAGTTTGCACCATCGGGACCACAGTTTCAGCCATGGCCTCTGCAGCAGCAACAACCGTTTTCATACGGTTATCCTCAGCCACAATGGAGCGGTGGCCAAGTAGATAGTAATGACACAACATTGTGGAGCCAAGGAGGCAATGAGAATAAGGTCTTTGAGAAAAATTTGCAATACTTAAACTCCTTCCCCGCTAGAGCCACGGGGACATCCGGGGCTGCCTCTGTGCCTACGGTGGTGGACGGGCAGCCGCAGAGGCCCTATGTTCCTCCGTACAAATTGTTTGAAGATCTTAACGTTTTCCGAAACGCAGATGCAGGCGTTAGGAGTAGCAAATGACCTTTGTTGTAATTACGTTAAAATAGTTCCAAAAGACTTCAAATTATTACAGTTACAAATTAACAAAGAGAACTAATAAGACTTCCAAGGTGAGGTATAAATCTTTGGAAACTTAATATATGATTTAAGGAATAAATAGTTGAAGTTGACAGATCTGTGCCATTTTCTTTACCCAAGATGAATAGACAAATAATAAGAAAAAATACGAAGATGTAAGATATACACATACACAAGAACTATTTACAAAGCATTGACATGCGTAATATAGCGACAAATTTATTTGGCAAAGCCTCCTCAATTAGTATTGCTTGCATCTTTTGTATAATGAGCTTAGAGAGAACTGGGAGAGGCTTTATTGGGATGAAGGATATTCGAAGAAAATTGCGAGAGATCATGCTAATTATGAGTCTGCTGAAGAAGATGAAGAAGATTTTAATCCATACAGGTTTCACTATTTGTGATTATAGCAATGTTACTGTGGTTATTCGTTGATTTTATGGTATATTGATGGATTTGGTTCTCTGGTTATTGCAGGAATAGGCGGTCTTATAATGATCCAATAAAGGTAATGAATTATAAGTTTGAACTGGTTGTTGTTTTTTCTTGTGTCTAGTTTCTGTAATATGATATTGTTTGACATTTTGATTCTTGTGACAATCTAATATGATAGCAGGAGCAGGGGTTTAGTAGAACAACACAAGGTGATGATGACTGGGAGAAAGTGAGTCAAATCAGGGACAAATTTGAGTATGACAAAGAAAGGAGAATGAGAGAAAAAGGTAAATCTACATCGCCAAGTATCTTTTCGTATTCCTTGATATTTCTGCATGATCAAGAAGATGTTGATCTGTAATATAATTTGTTATAATTCTTACGAGTAGTGTGAAGTTAAAGACAAGGCGTCAGTTTGCAGTTGGGAAAAAGTTTAAGCCAATCTCATATTGATCCCTATTTAGTTGCATTAGTCTGATCCTGGGATATACTAAAAGTGAAGGAATTGCTTAGTATTTTCAGCCTTAAGCTATTGCTTAGTATATGTTGTGGTATGTTGTGCTTGAATTGCTTAGTATAATTATCGGTTATTGATCTCTCTGCCATTTCATGTCTCTGATTTTTATAGACTAATATGGATGTGATAGTATTTTTGATACACCTCATGTATTTTTTCTTACATATCTGGCAAACTAAGTTTATTTGCTTCCCGGTTTCTCAGTTGTGTTTGTAAACTCTCTTATGTTGCAGCCTTTGCACCAATGAACGCTGCAGCACCCGACTCTAGAGACTTGAATTGGAATGCATAGAGACAGCCATTTGATGCTGAGAGACACTCGGGATTGAATTGATTATTCATGGCATAGGTTTCAGGTTCTTGGCACTATCATTTTCAATGTGTCACGGAAATGTAGATCTAGCAGAAGTTCGAGTCATAATCCGAATACAAAAGAAGTTAGTAGCTTATCTGACACAACACGGTTTGGCATCTGATTGTACACTTGGAGAACCGTGCTACAAAACAGAGGGATCACACTTCCTAGACTAGACGGTGTTGGATCATTTCAGTAACGAACTGCTCATGAGTCACACAATCCCCTTCTCCATCAAGAGAGTTTTGATAATTGTTTCATATTCATCCATTTGCAAATGAGATCACGAATCTTGACATCAATTGTTGTGAGAAATGTGAATAATGGAAAGACACTTCAAATATATGCATGAATGTAGTCATTTCATGGGAAAATGGCCAATTCATAACGAATCATAACCTTTTGTTACAACACGTACATGAATTACAGACTTGTGAGATTCATACACCAAACGAAAACTTTTGGCCAATTCATATACAAACGAACATGATTTTGAAGTCGGTGTATGAATCTAGGAAAAATGTTTGCCAGCTACGCGAAAGATACGCCATCACATAGTCACACATGCAGACTTTAAAAATGTTTCGTTAGCTACACGAAGTATTGACATTACATACAGACATCCCCGAACTAACATAAGTCATGTTGCAAACACCATAACCATCTAATTCCAGTGATTCAGTTGCCGGAATCCGGCATTGACCAGCATTGATCGGCGTTGACCAAAAAAATTTTCAATTTTTTTTTTTTTGGATTTTATTTATTTGTCTGTTTTTGATAAAAAAATAATTATTAAAAAATTATGTAATAATTTTACTTAAAATATATCAAAAAATAATATAACAAAATAAACCACAAAAAAATTATACAACAAAATTTTGGTATATATTTTTGTAATATACCACAAAATAGTCCATAATTTTTATTTTGTGCTATATTTATTTATAAAATTTTGGTATAATATACCACAAAGTATATTTTGTTATATGACCAAAATTTTATAAGAAAATATAGCATAAGAAATATTTTGTTAATAAAATTTTGGTAATATAACAAAATATACATTTTCCTTTTGGCAATCATTTTTTACTTCAAAGTAATCTTTTTCTTCTCGGTTATTCGTTGTTGAATACCACAAAAAAAAATTCCAAAAGAAAAATGTATATTTTGTTAAAAAAATTTTGGTAATATAGCAAAATATACATTTTCTTTTTGACAATCATTTTTTACCACAAAATAATATTTTTTCTTTCTTGGTTGTTCGACGTTGAATACCACAAAAAATGATTTTTTTTAAAAAAATGTGTATTTTTATATTACCAAAATTTTATAAATAAATATAGGACAAAATAAAATTTATGGACTATTTTGTGGTATATTTAGTTATATTACAAAAATATCTACCAAAATTTTTGTTGTATATTTTGTTGTGGTATATTTTGTTATATTATTTGTGGTATATTTAATTTTGGTATATTTTTAAGTAATTTAAATTATTTTTTATCAAACTGAATTCATAAGGAAAGAATATTATTTATGTTTGCATTATATAAGTTAACATGTCATTTGATCTGACAAATCGACAATTATTGTGCTATAAACCGTGTCGGGACTTGGGATTTCCTACATCGACTATGATTAATTTAAAAAGATGTGAATTGGTTTTGTTCAAGTTTATATTTGCGCTTGTACTTGTAATGTTGTCCAGTAACTCATAAAAAGCTTTAAAAAATATTGAATGAAAATTGTAAAGAACTTTTAAATTTAGAAACTTGAATGCTAAATCTACATAACAATGCGAAAATAAGTTGAATTTATGGAATCACTAACGATAAATGCAGGATCCAAAATCTGGTTAATTTCATATCTTGTAAATTTATTATCCAAATTTCTATTATTTAAAAAGCTTTAAAAAATTGTTTTAAAACCCACTGAAAAATTGAAAATCTTTTCTAAAAAATTTAGAAACTTGAATGCTAAATCTACATAACGATGCGAAAACAAGTTGAATTTGTGGAATAACTAACGACAAATGCTGGATCCAAAATCCGGTTAGTTTCACAACGTCTTGTTAATTTATTATCCAAATTTCTATTATTTAAAAATTGTTTTAAAACCCATTGAAAAATTGAAAATCTTTTCTAAAATATTTAGAAACTTGAATGCTAAATCTACATAACAATGCGAAAACAAGTTGAATATTTGGAATCGCTAACGAAAAATGCTGGATCCAAAATCTGGTTAGTTTCACAACGTCTTGTAAATTTATCATCCAAATTTCTATTGTTTAAAAAGCTTTTAAAAATTGTTTTAAAACCCACCGAAAAATTGAAAATCTTTTTTCTAAAAAATTTAGAAACTTAAATGCTAAATCTACATAACGATGCGAAAACAAGTTGAATTTGTGGAATCGCTAACGATAAATGATGGATCCAAAATCCGGTTAGTTTCACAACGTCTTGTAAATTTATCATCCAAATTTTTATTATTTAAAATTATAAAAAAAAAAAAGTGAAAGCTAAATTTTTTTTTAAAAAAAAAAAAGTGAAAATTGAAAAAGGTTAAAATCCGTAAGAAGTTTTACAAAAATCTGTAAACATAAAAATTCAGCGAATAAAAGTTTTAAATTTATTAATTAAAATAAAAAGAGAAGAGATGAAATTGACCTTGTTTTTATGGGCCGGAATTGTGTTTTGTTTGGGCTTTTCACATAGATCTCTAACTTTGACCACCGTCACCGGCAAACGAATCCCGATCCATCCACCTTCTCAAGCTTGCCTCTCTTTGATCATCATCTCCGTCAACGATGTAACACCCAAATCGTCAGAATTCTCCCTAGAGTTTCTTAAAAACCACAGACCAGCAGTCACGACAAACTGACGGAGAAGAGAGATCGCACATACATCTATGATCTCTCGCTTCGAGTGATTGGAAACAAAGGGCCCGTCGTCCATCCAGTGCCGTGCTAACAGATATAGAGGCTTTAGGCAAAATTTTCTTGAAATATGTTTTATAATTAATAATATATCCTAAACAAACAAAAACAAAAGCCCAAAATATATATGAGACTAAAATCTCCTGCCAAACAAAGGAAAGAATGAAATTTGTGACAAATATTGGGGATAGAACTTTGTAAGATGACTTTTTAGAGTGACATTTCTAAGAAGACAATTGATTAATGTGGCCTATAAAGTTATGACATAAAATGTGGCCTAGGGCACTTGCCCTTTTTTGTAAGAGGTAGTCACGGCTCAGCGTCCATCACGCTCTCGTTTCTTGTTGGCGAAAAAACTCACAACAAATCATAGATGAAATAGAAGAAGCAAAGGAAGCAGAAATCGAAGAAGAGAATGCTAAAAAAGCAGAGCATGTAATTGCAATCGATCTTCTTACTTTATTACTCTTATCTTTCTCTGTTTTGTGATGATGATGTTACTAAAACACGATTAGACACAGAGAAGATAGACTATATTTATAGACTCATCTTCTGTGTAATTTTCTTTTTTTCCACTGTTTGTTTGGGATTCAAGTTTCCTTTTTTCTTTTTACTCCTGTTATTTCCTTTTTACCCTTTCGTTTGGGTTTTTATGTGAATAGAACCACTGGGCCTAATTGATATCTGTAAGGCCCAGCCCAATAAGATATACTATCTGCGAATAGATCTAAACCCTAATAAACAAAAGTTTCACGTGCTCTATACGTCTCTAGTTTACTTTGTTTTGTTATTCAGACAAGTCTCCGAAGTTCTCGCTAGCCGCGGAAACCAAGTCTGCCGACGAAAACATGTCTTCCGGCCGAAACAGGTCTCGCGTGAACGAACCTTACTGGGCAGAGATATACGCCAGTAAGATCTCGTTATATCTCTTGAAGTTGTTTGGTCTTTATATATATTTTTTGATTAGATTTTCGTCTGATTGTTAACTAATATTTAATCATAGTAAATCTTTTTTAATGGATTGTATTGATTTTTGATTCCATGGTGTCTCCGGTGGCAGAGGGTAACACAGGTGTGTTTTGGGACTTGGTGGATTTTCCAATCCCTGAATGTGATCCTTATTTAATCTCTAAGAATATAAAATCAACTCTTGAGGATAAGGGTTGTCAAAATGGTCCTGTGTCAATCCAGTTGTACCAAGATGAGAAAAACCTCCTCCCCAAAGAATTGATTGATAAATATGAGGCTGCCGGAATCAGTATCAATTTCGTACCCGATAGTGAGTGAATTCCTCCTTTACCTAATATATTCATATCGATTTATAATTTGTAATGTAATCTAGATCTTGGTTGATATGTAGTTCCTGAGGCGTATGGATATGCTAGAGATCATAAGATGTTAGTGGACATTCTTCGGTGGGCAGTGGACAGTCCTATAGAATCCAATTTGATTGTACTCTCAAAGAACTTGAAAGAAGAGTTGACTGTCTGTGTTATTCAAGGTTTGCATGATAGAGGTTACAATGTTCTCTTAGCAGTTCCTACAGAAGAGATACCTTTTACTGAAAGCTCAGCATGGCTTTGGGATGGCCTTTGTGCAAGCCTATCATCAGATGGAAGCCGAAGCTCACAACATGTTGACAATAAGGCGGATACTGTTGCTGTTGCCGATTCTGTGTAGTGACTAGGGAGCAAATATCGGTAGAGGAGACTAACATGTATTTTTGATGTTTTATGTTATAATGATGCACTCTATATATATATATATGATTCTCTTTGATTTGATCATTTTAATTTTTTCTTCATATAAAACAAAAACAAAAATTAAAATATCGAAAATACTCTTTTATGGACTAAGAGAAAATGCATGTATGTGTATTTTTGTTATTCTGATGTTGTTTTATAAATATGTGAAGTGTTGTGGTAAAAGCAAAAGGAGGGGTATAAGGTTTGTGTAAGCGTAGTTGAATTTATGGTAAATTGCTCGATGGTAGTATTTATTGTGAGGAGCTTGTCGCAACTTGCTGACGCTGATCAATGTTTGAGATCGTTTTGGGTTTGTTCCAAGATCTCTCACTCGTTACCTGCAAAATGCTTCTTTATATTGAACGACAGTTCTTGGGACACACGGTAACTGGGTCTTTTAACACATCATTAAGGTGTCTGGATGATGAACGCCAAGGTAACTGGGTCTTTTATCATCCTTTGGCTTTAAGCCTAACTTTTCAGAAACCGACTTGGACTTGTCTCTCAGTTCCTCGAGCATCTGGTTAGTGAAGGAAGTCAAGATGTGCAATGCCCTAGGTGAAATTATCATTGACATCAACAGTAAATTAGAGCACTACCAATCCTTGCAGTTGTGGCAGTACCAATGTGATGAGAGCTCATCAATGTCACAAATAAGAAGAAGTCATTGTTGAAACTGCAAACGCTAGGTATGTGAAAAACTTGCATCGTGCAGTGCTTTTGTTTGGGGCACTCATCAATGCTGTCTACTTACAGATATGCTGTGGAAAGGATGGATGAAAATCTTTGGGATAAGGTTTTAAAACATTTCCATCCGTTATTGTTTTACCAAAAACACAACATTATGACCCAAGTCCCAATTAAGCCAACTAGCAAAATATCTTTAACTCAATAAGTCAATAGTAAGACTAATAAGAGAGTTGCATACAACAAAGAAGGGATTTGTGTAATATAGATAAATAGAAAGTTGAAGACAATGCAGTGTCCATAAAGAATCACTCAACTTTGATGTTGTTATCATCTACAACAGCATCACTTGGAAGGTCACTCCCCTTTGGAATCTTTCCTAAATAATCAGTCACCGAAGTGTCTGATCCCAACATACTGTGAATCACATGAAAGAACGTTAGACTATACTTGGTTACATCTTCAAAGCTCATGGCAAGAAAAATAAATGAAGAAACTCCATACCTTCTATCAACGATGACCATTGAACGTAGCTCACAATTCGCAAAGCTGCAAATCAAATGCAAATTATAAACCCAATAGATTAAAAATTCCTAACTAAGAATGTGAAAGCTTACTGACTGGCTGCAAATTTCCTTCTTAACATCTGGATGACACTCGTTTTGTAGTGCATTCAATGTGTGAAACAAGAAACCACTGTGTGTCACAATCGCTATCTCTTTCTCTTTCCTTGTCCATAGCCTACAAATCCAAAACCAGCCATCATACACAGTTCGGTCCCATCAGCATTTCCGATAAATCAACAAGACTAATGGAGATTACTTAAATTCTACATGGAAAGAATCTTCTTTCATCAGAGATTGATCCTATTTGATGCCAACTTCTACTTATCAAACTAACAGTGCCGAGGAAGCGGAGAGGATTCACGTTCTGTACAATCCATTAAAAATAACTAATCTCCTAGAGTTTAGGTAGAAAAGAAAATATACCAGTTCAGGAACCTTTTTCCTCTAGCTGCAAGTTCTTCAATTGTTTCTCTAACATCAGCCTTCCATAACTTGTCTTCCTAGCTTTCTATCTGAACGCAAATTTAAATGTGAGGAGTCATTTGAAGCACATATAAGTTGTTTGGCGGAGCTTGGCGCTGCTATTAGTCTATTGGGCAACCAGAAGATTACAAGTAATAATCAATGCCAGGCACATCTAAGACTCTCAATTTTACTTGCCAGTGAAAAGTCAACTGCAGGGAAAAGAAACTGATAGTCGCTGATACTTCTCCTCTGATCACATGGATGCACTCCCATGAATCTACATATCTCTATAGTTCGTGTATAAATTGGCTGTCTTCCCTCATTTCATAACAAACAGTGTTGCTTCTGAATTAAGACCAGAACCAGGAGAATAAACGTAACACACAAAGAAACAAAGAAACAAAGAAACAAGAAGCGAAATAAGGGTTATACAACTGTAACATGAACTGAAAATACTTTAAAACGAAAGAAGAAAGCTCAAATAACCCCAAATAGAAGAATGGGCGCACAAGAAACCACGAAGCTTGGAAACAAAAGATGGACAGAAAGTAAAATCAATCAAACACTAGATAAAGGCCCTTCTGTATACAATCACAAAGCGAAATGACAAAAAAAAAACTAAAGAGAGATCACTTGTGCTATGTACTTATGGTGATGGTGTGGACCTACGATGATGAGGCTTGGCGAGCACGAACGAGCGCATTGAGTTCCCTCACTTGGTTTCTCAATCGCTCTGGGTTGCAGAAAAAGTCCACAAATACCCGTCTTTGAAGTTCCACATCCTTGGCGTGATGCTTCACGATCTGCAGCAATAGTAGTATAGTGTATATTTAAATTGTCTATTTCACTATAATCCATATATATACATTGGAGAGGAATTAAAATGAAAAGATTAAGACTCACCTCCCTTTTATTGCGGTGCTCAAGCGTCACCTCTTCCACCGCCGTAGAGAGTTTGGAGTTGATTTTCCCCATTTCATCAAGTTCTTTCATCAGTGGCTAATGTTACATGAAGGAAATAACATGAGTTAAAACTTCCATATATTGGTCTAGATTAACGACTAAAATTGGTAACTGAGAACTAAGATTTCTTTTACCCATGGTGTCAATATGGGTTGTGCCGTAGTTGAAGACGCAAAGAGCAGTTGCTGCAAGTTTTGAATATGGGTACACCTGAGAAACAGAGAAGACAATAGAGATATATGAGCATCGTAAATACTTGTTTCTGTGAAAGAGCTTGAGGATTCTGGACTCACAGCTCATTAATGCATCTGTTTCGGTCATCTGGAAGGGAATTTTCGAGGTCAGACTGAAGAGATGACAGATCGGACTGAAGAGCAACTATCTGCTGATTGATGGCTGGAGCTGATACATAAGTTGATAATCCGGCTTGGGTATCTATAACAGGAAGAGATGAAGTTTATCAGCCTAAATTAGGTTTGGAAAAATCAGACAAAAGGGAATAATTTCGCAAAATGATAGTGTTGACTACTTGAGTGAATGCTCAAGAGATCTCTAACTCCATGTAAAAAGCTGTCACGGTCATCTACTGCTCCCTGTTCTTGCACATCCGATGCAGCTTGGATCAGTGCCGAACACCGCCCCTGAATATATAGTGAAAAGATGAATTAGTTTCAATATCCGATAGTTCCAGGAAAGCATGGACTGTAAATATGGATATGACCATACCACACGGCTTCTTGTGGCGGAGAGGTAACCCTGAAGTTCGGATTCAATTACTTTTAGCAGAGAGAATGCTCCAAGCATGTTTTTCTTTTCTAGCTGACATGCTAATTTCAAGAACTGGTGTCTTGCTAGCTGATTAACCAGATGATTGATGAACTGCAACAAAATTTTCGGAATATCAAAGACAGTTTAACAAGTAGATCTTGGTATCTCAAACATGGAAAACACGCAGTACTGTTGCCAACATATCTTGAAGATATCAAATCAAAAGAAATACAAATAAAACTGAAGGCTAACATACCACTTTCTGCTTACTAATATACAGCTCTTGACGCATCACCTTTAGATCGTAGTCACCTAGAAGGTTATGATGAGTAAAATTATTTGAAAGCCCAAAATTATCCAAGAGCTTCGGGTAAAAAGCAAAACTGTAAATGCTGAATACCTTGCAAGATATAGGTGTCCTGCAGTTGTGCGAGCTCCCAACATAGTTCGGGAATAGTCTAAAATAACGGATTAAGAAAATATGTAGTTACTCAAAGAAGAGCCTAGTTTTTAGAGTTTAGAAAAACGATACTTGAAACGTCAAGAATTGAGTACATAAACAAACCTCAGATAAGAGTTTTTCTTCTTTCTGATAAAGGGTAGAGATTTCTTCGACTAGATCTGCATGTTTTCTCCTGCACAGGTAAGAACATGATCACCGGAATACAGTATGGCAAGTTAAAGACTCAATGAGCTTTGATGCTTCATGTTCTTCTACCTTAGAGAATGTAGATCAAAATGAATATGAGCTTCAACTGATGTTACTTGAGATTTGAGCGTCAAGAGAATAGCTTGTTGCTTAGCATTCTCGACCTGAGCTTCAATCCATTGTCTCTCACTTGTTCCAAAGCTGTGAATCACCAAGAAAATGCCTTGGAGAGTGAGAAAATTTGTATGCAGGGAAATTCCAGAATTTTCTATGCCCTAAAGTGGTCTCCAGTACTTCTTAAGTCTAAGTAGCAAGAAAGACCCTTGTACGTATACAAGTTTCCTCAACTACAAGACTGCATCCAGATCCAGAGTAACGGACAAAGTGAAAGCTGAAAGTTATATTGCCGGAGTACCACATAATACATACATGGACCGAAGCCGTTGCAGTTCAGCTACGCGTTGATGCTGTGACTTTTCCAAATCTGCTGCATTGTAATTGACAAGTTATAGATGCACAATATCTTCAAAACATAGGAATTTTATTATACAGAGGGAAGTTACATAAATGCACAAGGATATACGCATTTCAGGCAAAACAATAGTATATCTGCAAAACAAAAGTCACACTGTAGGAAAGTTACCTCGCAACATGTTTGATGTATCATCAAGACTGACCCATGAGCATTTCGATTTTCCTTCCTCTGCAACTAAACGGTATGGCCCCTGACATGATAGCAGATAATTACATTAAAAAAAAAAAAAAGAGTGCATAAGTAGATGCAAGATGAATAACAGTTGATACTTTCTCCATTCTCAGAAATTGTCAAACCATAGCATTTCTCACAAGGTACTAGGGATAAGATCTTAATGTATTCACCACTACTGTCATCCACTTACTGTATCTAGTTGCTTAGCAAACCACTGATTTAGCTCCTTTGTGCAGGCTGAATCTCCGGCCAAGTAGGCATGGAAATCAGAGTATGCTAAGTATATTCCATCCTCTGCACAAATGAAACAGCCAATTAAGCTAGCCGAAAGAGTTGATGACAGTTAAATAAATATTCCATGAAAACAACCAGTTAGAAAATTGTTTTGCTGACATAGCTGTCAACACCACTTCTTCGTCTATCATCCAAAAGAAATGTCTACAGAAATACAACTAATAGAATAGTTGTATTAAAATTAAATCCGGGCTACAAACAGAACCTTGATCCAACGTAATACTTATCAATCTTTCAAATAACTACCAGAGCTGAAGTTCCTCATCCAAATGCTGCTAATTTGACAGTTGTATATTGCATTAAATCCAATTAAAATTTTCAGCTTCAAAGCAGATTACAGTTATGAAAAAGTTAAAAGCACAAGATTGAGGGGGATACAAGGGACACCTTCGCCAGAATGATAATGCGCCAGCTCTTGAGAAGTGGAAGCCAATCTTCCTAGAACTCCATTCATCTAAATCACAGGAAAATACCGAAAGGAAACATCACAAACTTATCTCAAGACCAAAAGAATTGCAGATTCAACTTCACAACTGTGTGAGTGCATGTATTAAACCTGCAAATTTCTAGCAGACAGGCTGTCTTCTATAGATGTTATCTGTCCAGAGACAGCAGAAGTTGCAGCAACTCGAGCACGTCTCCCTTGAATCAGAGCTGAAGATTGGCCAGTGAGTAAATCATATTGAGTCTGTAACCGCCTTAGCTGCCTCTGCAACTCTAAGGCTTCAGCCTTATGCGCCAAAGTTGCATCTCTATCAATTAAAGAACTGTCAGCGGTGCCATGTAATGATTGGTATACACGACTACATCAACAAAATCTTGTGCACTTGAGAGCACCTCTAATAATGTAGTCATACATGACCATCCAAGTGACATGAAACAAAGTCCCTGGAAATTTCTCACAGGGAATAACAAAATACATTTATATAAAACACCACAAGGTCAAAGAAACCTATAAGTACTTTACTTATGTAAACGCATGATCTAAGGAGATAATTGACATGAAACCAAATTTCTCAACAAAATCACCCTACTTCTCACAAGGAAAAAAAACATTTAACACTGCACCATCGGTCAATAAACTTAGTGCGCAAACGATAACCCAAACTAAGAAACCTGGACAGTTTGTACTTATTTCAAAGGGCCTTATAATAGGCATGAAACAGAAAGTACAGAATCCCATATGTGATATGAAGGTCTAACCTTACTTCTTTAATGCTTTCTTCTGCTCCGAAAACGGCCTCCTGGTTATTTCTCCTGGAAGAAAATGCTGATATGCTATCATAAGCCTGGTCTAGATCGTCGCCCTGAATCCATGCAAAAGAAACGCACAATAAGAAGGCAAGAAAATAACATCTAAAGACAGACACATACGTCTACTCTCAAAGCCGACAAATAGTAGAATGACACAACGGAGTTACCTCTAAGAGTTTCCCATCTCTTTGAAATTGCTCATATCTGGATCCAGAAACAAGAGAACAACGCATTAACCACTGATATATAAACTAACTACATAGAGAAGAAGCACAAAACTAAAACGCAGCAAAACATTGATCAGTGAGAAAATAATCTATAGCTAGCAACAACAATTGAAAGGTTAGCCACAAGGATTGCTCTAATTGCAACAATTTAAGCTTCATCAAAATTGAATATAAACCTAATTCAACCAAACAACATTGAGAAGTGAGACATTCGATGTGAATCTGAGAATGAGAGCGTAAAAAGAGAACATACAGTGATAGTTCAGCGAGGGAGAGGACATTGGAGGGGCGAAGAGAGGAACAGATCCAGTCGAGGATAGGTCGAGCATCGTCGTACTGGAACGGCCACTCGAAGCTGTCGGGATCCAATTTTCCGGCGCCTTCGTAACCTAGCT